CATTGTATTGGTGACGTTTGGTCGCTCAAGAGCCTAAAGCAGAGGGGTGGGAAAGTCCGGCCCGCGGGCCGTATGAGGCCCGCGGAATTCATTTGGTCCTGGCCCTGCCAAGGCAACCGCAGGCGGGACTCGAAATTCAACACATCTAGGAGAGCAAACCTGGAGAATCAGTCGCGAGTAGCGGCAACATCGTCAGTAGCCGGCTAACATCATCACCACGCCTCGCCAAAGAGAAGCAGTTCCAGCTCATGGCATTAGGGGCGAGCTAATTCAACGTTTGACCAAATATAACGGGGCTAATTTTTAAGTTGATCATTTTGTATGGCCCGCGAATGATGTCATTAATATCCAAATGGCCCTCGGCAGAAAAAAAAGTCTCCCCACCCCTGGTCTAAAGAGTCTAAAAACTCTCTAGCGAGGGGTCCTTTTGCAAGCTGTGGGCTGCCCGGTGTGGTTGTGTTGTTGGAGCAGGTCCTTGGGTCTCTGCTTTCCAGCAGGGAGCACAAATTCTTGACGGAAGCCTCGGGGGGGGGGGGGGGGGGGGGGTGCCATTGTGGCTCAGAGGTGATGCTAACTGCCTTGCCTGGTATAGAGGAGTTCGTGGGTTCGATCATGACCCCTGACGCCTGCTGTATATTTTTCATAACTTTCTCCCCGTGGTCGCGTGGATTGTTCTCCAGGCCCACTGATATTTTTTTTCAGCGACATGCGTTTAGAGCTGTTTTGGATCTCCGTGGATCTCTGTGGGTATCTATGAGTGTGGGTCTCTGGGTCGTTGTATATCTCTAATGGGTCTCTATTTGTCTCTATGCGTTTAGAGTATTTGGCTCCTGCTATAAATTTGCACGTGATGATAAGCCACTTCGTTGAGCTATCATTTGTGATAGCCGGCTTGCTTATGAATGAGTAATATTTTTTAATTTTTTTTTTTTAAACACGCTTTTATGAAATGTACGGTACGAGCAATGGCAGAACTCCACGACTCCAGGAAGTGGCCCCGAAACTTGCCATAACGTAAGGGGACCGTGGTCAATTACAGCCAACGTCAGTTGAGCGTGGACAATTAGACCCAAGCCGAAACATAACGTGTAAAAAATAATTTTTTAAAATATCTATTTGTAATGATATATTATAGTATTGTTATCAGTGTGACATAAGTATAACAAGTTTGCAGTCGATACCACATTGGGAAGTGGGTTAACATTGAGTTACAAGATTTGAGGATACAACAACGACAACAACAGCAGAGTGAGTTAATAAAAAGCGTGTAATGAAGAGCTTTTATTTAGCAGGTCAGTGGGGGACTCACCTGGTAAAAAAAGTATAAATAGTTTAAGAGTTTTGGGTACTAAACGTGGGACTGTTTCTGCGCAGAGGTGATGTAGATCCCAGTTCTGCTTCTAGGTGGGGAGAGGAGATGGGGGGATGAGGGGGCATTAATCAAAAATAAGAATATGATGAACTTTTTCTGGCAATCACACAGGAGGTGTGTTAAGATTTTGATTTAAAGCTTTCGTAACTGCAGGGATTCATATTCTTGGTTCTTTCGGTAAAGTCACGTAGAAGGGAAACAATAAAATAATAAAAAAATATTTCATTGTTTCCCTTCTACGTGACTTTATAATAAAAATATTATTTTATTGTTTTCCTTCTACGTGACTTTACCCAAAGAACCAAGAATGTGTGTTAAGATGTTCGGGACGAGAGAACGCCTTTTAACGTTGGTCTCTCGTCTAACACCGGTGGTGCAGAGACTAGGCCAATCGTTTTCGAAGACAGCGGGTACATTATTATTATTAGATCACGTCCGCTCGCATGTTTTTATCGCAAGCAATGATGATGATGTGTATGCTCTCTGGTTCTTTCGGTAAAGTGACATAGAAAGAGAACAAAATTAATTACATAATAGCATACGACGTTTCGATTGCAACACAAGCAATCATCATCAGGTACAAATGAAAGAGGAAACAAACCTAGTAAACTTAGAAATGTAATGCAGTACAACACAGTCGGCTAACATAACAGTCAACACCCTACCTGGTTGATTAATGTTCTTCCAAAGATTGCTAAATTTGAGAGAGAGACAAAACACAGAACCGGAGACACATAGAGAGACACATAAGCAGAGAGAGACGCACACAGAGAGATATAACACAGAGACACACAGAGAGAGACACACAGAGAGAGACACGCACACATAGACACACAGAGAGAGATAACACAGAGACACACAGAGAGAGACACACAACATAGACACACAGAGAGCGAGAACACAGACACACAGAACCGGAGACACACAGAGAGACACACAAGCAGAGAGACACACACACATAGACACACAGAGAGAGATAACACAGAGACACAGAGAGAGAGACACACACATAGATACAGAGAAATAACACAGAGACACACAGAGAGAGACACAGATACACAGAGATAACACAGAGACACAGAGTGACACACAACTTAGACACACAGAGAGCGATAACACAGACACAGAGAACCGGAGACACACAGAGAGACGCACAAGCAGAGAGACACACAGAGACACAGAGAGACACACACACATAGACACAGAGAGAGATAACACAGAGAGAGACACACATATAGACACACAGAGAAAGATAACACAGAGACACACAGAGAGACACACATATAGACACACAGAGAGAGATAGCACAGAGACACACAGAGAGAGACACAACACAGATACAGAGATAACACAGAGAGAGACACACAACATAGACACACAGAGTGATAACACAGACACACAGAACTGGAAACACACAGAGAGACACAAGCAGAGAGAGACACACACGGAGACACACAGAGAGACAGACATAGACACACAGAGACACACACACACACATAGGCACACAGAGAAACAACGCCTCTGTGTCGAGGCCTTAAATAGACAGAGAGGGGGGTAGAGAAATTAGCATGTCAATGAGAGACCTGGAGCCTTTGTAACTGCTGGAAATAAGAGCAACAAAACGAGGGGAGACAGAGAGAGAGAGAGAGAAACCACACTAAATCAAACAAACTTAGTAAAATGTGTAAATATAATGCAATGCAACAACGAGAGTCGGTCAACACACAATTGACGCATGGCCTGGTTGATTACGTTCTTCCAAAGATTCCTTAAATTAGAAGTTAAGTGTGAAATTTGAGAGAGAGACGAGACACGGAGACACAAAGACAGACACACAAGCAGAGAGAGAGACAACACAGAGACACAGAGAGAGGAAACACAAACTTAAGACTCTCCCGGTAGAGGTGGTTAAAACTTGATTTTGAGCCTTCATGACTGCAGGAATTACTCTTTGGTTCGTTGTACCTGATGATGATTGCTCGTGTTGCAATCGAAACGTCGTATGCTGTTTACATTATGAGACCTCCTTTGCTAGTAATAAGATATAGTCATAGGTTTTATCTTTTTAAACTGGCACAAAAACTGACACCTTTATTCAAGGCATCATGTTTGCAATAACCACAACACAAGCAGTCAAAATGCAAACAAAAGTGCCAGTTAAAAAGGGTAAAACCTATTTCTATATCTTGTTACTGGCAAAGGAGGTCTCATAATGTAAATGCTCACCCCGAGCCCTCAATACTCTGATAGTGCGCTGTTTTTGAGTTGTACGCCTTTTGGCGTCTTCTGGTCCAACACCAGTGGAGACTAGGCTCTAAGAAAAGCCGTCTCGGGTGTGGACCAATAAAATTCAAGGACAGTGCATATTATTATCAGAGTTGTCTCTTTTTGTTTGCATTTTGACTGCTTGTGTTGTGGTTATTGCAAACATGATGCCTTGAATAAAGGTTGTCAGTTTTTGTGCCAGTTAAAAAGGGTAAAACCTATTGCTATGTCGTGCGCTGTTGTTTCATTTATTATGTTCTCTTGCTACGTGACTTTACCGGAAGAGCCAAAGGGTAATTCCTGCAGTCACGAAAGCTCCAAATCAAGTTTGATGATGTGTAGTCAGTGCAGACCTGATGATTCCTTAGCAAGGGACCTGTTTGCAAGCATTAAAGTACTAAAGACAAGAAGATGTTTTACCCATTCTGGCAATAAAACGGGAGAATGTTCAGATGTTCCAACACCAAACATAATGTGTATATATATATTATCAGAGCATGTTTCTTTGCATGTTCACCAAAAGTACGTGGTTAATGCAGATTCCTTGCACCTACAATTAGCGCGGTTGGCTGCGTACGGTGGAAAGAAGTTCAATCATGCATGGGTACATACATAGACTCGCGCAGAGAGCCATAGACTCACAGAGACCCATATACTCGCACAGAGACCCATAGACTCGCACAGAGACCCATAGACTCGCACAGAGACCCATAGACTCGCACAGAGCCCATAGACTCGCACAGAGCCCATAGACTCGCACAGAGACCCATAGACTCGCACAGAGACCCATAGACTCGCACAGAGACCCATAGACTCGCACAGAGACCCGTAGACTCGCACAGAGACCCATAGACTCACACAGAGAGCCATAGACTCACACAGAGACCCATAGACTCGCACAGAGACCCATAGACTCACACAGAGACCCATAGACTCACACAGAGACCCATAGACTCACACAGAGACCCATAGACTCGCACAGAGACCCATAGACTCGCACAGAGACCCATAGATTCACACAGAGACCCATAGACTCACACAGAGACCCGTAGACTCACACAGAGAGCCATAGACTCGCAAAGAGACCCATAGACTCGCACAGAGACCCATAGAGTCGCACAGAGACCCATAGACTCAGAGAGACCCATAGACTCGCACAGAGACCCATAGAGTCGCACAGAGACCCATAGAGTCGCACAGAGACCCATAGACTCGCACAGAGACCCATAGAGTCGCACAGACCCATAGACTCACCTAGAGACCCATACACTGACACACAGACGCCCATCGATAGCCACAAAGACACCAAGTTCAACCAAAAACGTACAAATGTTGACTGCGATGGCTCCGTGACTTGTGCCAGGTTTTCTCCCACACCATCGATCGCAACTACTGCAGACCGATCGCAACTCCTGCAACCCCGATCGCAACTCCTGCAACCCCGATCGCAACTCCTGCAACCCCGATCGCAACTCCTGCAACCCCGATCGCAACTCCAGCAACCCCGATCGCAACTCCTCGACCCCGACCGCAACTCGAGCTCCTGCAGTCCCGATCGCCGCTCCCGCAACCCCGATCGCAACTCTGCCTCCCGCCGGGACTCCGCGTCCCCGCCCCGGGTGTGGGTCTCCGCGCTTGGCTCGTCCGCCATGGAGGGGCTGAGCGAGGACGGGTGGGGTAACGACGCCGGGGGTGCCGCTTCCGCCCGGCGGCTCAGGGAACCCCCGCCTGCTCCAGCTCCTCCGTCCCCGAGGGACCCCTTCGGGGAGCTGCGGGTCAGCGATGTGCGCTCGCTGCTGCTGCCGCCCCACGGAGACGGCAAGGGAGGAGGCGATCCGAGGAACGCGAGAGAGATGGGGAGGGCACGAGGAGGAGGAGGAGGAGGAGGAGGCGGTGGAGGAGGGACGGGAGAGACGGTGAAGGCAGCGGGGGGAGATGGAGGAGGTGGAGGAGGTAGCCCCATCGAGATTGGAGAGACGACGAAGGGAGCAGGAGGGGGTGTGAGAGGGAACTCGAGGGACGAGTTGCGAAAGGGAGTAGGAGGAGAGTCCAGGAAAGATGCGACGGGGGAGATGGAGGAGGAGCTGACCAGGGGACGACGAGGTGGAGAAAACAGAGAGAAGAGGGGAGAGATGACAAAGGGACAAAGACACGGTGGAGGAGGAGGAGGAGGAGGAGGCGGGGTAGAAAGCGGAGAGCCGGGAGTGGAGTTGAGAGGTGGCTCGACAAAGGGACAGGACGGACGAGGAGTTGGTGGAGAGGCTGAGCCGGACGGAGCCCGGGACAAGGGAAGGCGCTCGCTGCAAGGTGAGGGAAGCCGCTGTTGTTGTTGTTGCCGTTGATGCTGTTGTTATTGCTGTTGCTGCTGCTGTTGTTGAGTCGGTTGTCCATGTGGAGCGATGTTTGCCAACATCGCTCAACTAAAAAATGCGTTCAGCGTGAATTGTCCAGTCCCGGGGGCCCCTTGTGTTCGCAAAAAAATGTCTCATAAGGTGTATCATCATCATCGGCGACGGTCACTCGGGGTCGAGTGATTCTCCTACTGGTGGGACTTGTTTGTGGATCTTCAAATGGCTGAAAATGTCGATCCGAGAGCCGCAGATTCTGCTGCAGTATGGGCAAGGGGGGGGTGCAGTGATGGTTGTGGTGGATGATGATTGGGGGCCTTCTTGGTGGCGAGCCTCTCCTTGCGTTGTTGCCTCTTCCGCGACACGGCGAAGATCGTTTTCGTAGAGCGCGCGACCGCTCCCCCTCGTGGGGACGGTCTTCCTCCACGTGGTTCTGTCCTGCATAATTTCCTCCCGAGTTGGCGGTGGTTGACGGTGACCACTTATTGAGGTTGATCCTGATGTTGTCCTTGTAACGCACCGTCTGTGTTCTGGGGGGCCCCCGGCTGTCCTGCGTTTAGCCGGGAGTACAGGCAGCTGGGCTTCCTAGCAACGTGGCCAGTCCATCTGAGCTGATGGTAGTGGCGATGCCGTTAATGTTTGCCTCCTCAAGGACATTGGTGTTGGGTGCGCCCGTCTGCCCAACTGATCCTCGCGATTTTTTGCAGAGGCATCTTTGTTGGTGCTGCTCCAGGGCTTTAAGGTGGTGCCCCCAACGTACGCGGTCCAGGATTTTTCGGCCCCATTCGGTAGGGTGGGAAGAGCTGCGGCTTTGTAGACGAGAAGCTCCGTTTTGGACCTGGATGTCGTGACCTTCAAATACAAAGTATAACCTTGGATTGCGAGTAACCTGGTCTGCGGGTGTTTTGCAAGACGAGCAAAAATTGGTAAATACATTTTAATTTGATAAACGAGCGAGGGTCTTAGCAATACGAGCAGTAGTTCACGTGTAGACACGCTTTGTACTGCCGAGCGTCACGTGATCACAACTGATATGCGAGCGCTTTGGATTACAAACACGTTACCGGAACGAATTATTGCTCGCAATCCAAGGTTTTACTGAACTGTTTTCCTCAGTCTGGCAAAGGCTCCACTGTCGCTTGGAGTTTTTCTGCGTCGATAATTCGGCTTTGGAGGAGAGATGACCGCCAAGGTAGGGATAGTGATCCACATTTTCGAGGGTGGTTATTGTCAGCGTGTGTTGCCGGGGCTCGGTGTTGTCTTGTTAGGTGTCAGCCATACCCAGGAGCTTTGTATGCTTTTGTGAAGGCATCCAGGATGCAATTCTGCAGGTATTCTTCCGAGTGGGCAGTGATGGCATTGTCACCTGCATGGGAGTGGTGGAGACTTTGTTCTTTGTCTTGAATCTGTTAAAGTTGAAGGGCGCTACTGTCTGTTCTGTAAAGGATTTGGACTCCCAGAGGCAGATTTAGGCCTGCGCGGTGAAGAATAGTAACACTGAAGATTGTAAAAATGGTGGACTACAATGATTCAGCCCTATTTAACCCCCCCGGTTTCCACCTTGAAGGGTTCAGTTTCTGCACCACTGTTACTGAGCACTGTTGCTGACACGTCATCCAGCAGTCCCAGTACCCTCGTGAAATCGTCAGGGCCGCCAATTATTTTTTTATAGAATCAGTTGGGGAGGGCGTGATGGTTCACAGAGTCGAAGGCTTTTTGTAAGGGTCTATAAAGGCCGCGTAAAGTGGTTGCTTTGGTTCCCGGCATTTATCTTGAAATTGTCGTACTGTTGAACTCATGTCTGTTGTGCCTCTGGATGGGCGAAAGCCACACACAGTGATTCTGGAAGGATTTATTTTAACAGGGTAGGAGTCGGTGAGCCAGTATGTGGGTAAGTATCTTCTCAGTGGTGGACATGAGGGAGATGCCGCTGTAGTTTCTACAATCTGCCTTGTTGTCCCCCTTTTCAAAGACAGTCATGGGGCATCTCTGAGTTCTCTGGGGATTTCCTGCTTCTGCCAGATCTTCAGGAGCAGGACATGCACATGGGTACTGTAAGAGCTCCGACCTGCCTTCCTTTAAAAAATGTCTGCTGGAACCCCACCAGGACCAGCGGCCTTGTTATGTCTTATCTTCCCGATGGCATCTTGTACCTCCTGCATGCTGGGCGGTTCTTCCATGTCCTCTTTTATGGGTAGCTGAGGGATTCGGTCGATGACCTCCATCGCAACGGTTGTACCTTCGGTTGAGGAGTTTGTCGAAGTGTTGGCTCCACCGGGATTTTATTGCTTCATCATCCTTAAGCAGATTTTGTCTATCTTTTGAGTGAAAGGGGTTTCGGCCACGGTAACTGGGTCCATATTCTGCCTTTGTGGCATTGAAGAAGCCTCTGGTTTAGCCGGCGTCTGCCAGCTGCTGGATCTCCAGGGCTTTCCCTGTCCACCGTTTGTTTTTGAGCTCCCTCACCCGACGTTGGACATCCGCCTTCACGGTGGCCTCGCAGTTTTGTGTCGTTCTGCCACGCGCAAAAGGTTCTTAGTTTTTCTGTCGACTAGCCGTTCAATGTCGGTATCATTCTCATCATCCTATAGGCAATGGTTATTATTCCAGGTGTTGAGGATGATGGACTTGGGCATGCTCCGGTGTGTTTCGGTATCATCAAGGATATTTGTTTGGGAAGTTCTGCAACAAGAACAGTCTGGAAGCGTTGTAGTTTTCTGGTAACGCCCAGACTTTCAATGTTGCGTCTTGGCCAGCTCAGCCCTTTTTTTGCATCAGTCTATTGGACACGGCGAGGCGCATAAGGCGATGGTCTGTCCCACAGTCGCCCGCACTTGTCCATTGCGATGTTCACCTAATGACAATCCTTGGCTCGGACAACGACGTGGTCAATGAGATGCCGCAGTTTGGAGCGGGGGGATGCATCCGGGATGTTTTGAATTAGTTTTTTTCTTCTGATGGAAGAGTGTGTTGGTAGTCACGAGGTCATGTTCCGTACGTTTGGTTAGGAGAAAGACTCCATTCGAGTCGGTATTGCCGAAACCTTCTGTTCCAATCGTGCCTCTCGAAAGCTTGTGGTCCCCAGCCGACCCTGTCATTAAAATCCCGAATAAGAATGGTCTCTTTTGATTTAAAGCTTTCGTGACTGCAGGGATTCATATTCTTGGTTCTTTCGGTAAAGTCACGTAGAAGGGAAACAATAAAATAATAAAAATATAAAACAATAAAATTATCAAGACGTTTCGACTGCAACACAAGCAATCATCATCAGGTGTGAAAACTACTTTTTCTTGCTGTGGTTTTCACACCTGATGATGATTGCTTGTGTTGCAGTCGAAACGTCGTGAGAATTTTATTGTTTTATGCTTGTATTATTTTATTGTTTCCCTTCTACGTGACTTTACCGAAAGAACCAAGAATAAGAATGATCTCGTTGTCTTCCTTAGGAATACTTAAGAGTATTATGTCCAAGTTGGCATAGGTCTCCTTTACTTCCTCCTGCGAGTCCATCGTTGGGGCATAGGCGCTCACAAATGTGCCCATTTGGTTGTTTGCAAGCTTCAGACGGACGGTCATAAGGCGTTCATTGATGCCCATATGTGGCTGATGAGTCTGTTCTTAATAGCAAAATCAACTCCATGGTTTTCCTGGGTTCATCGTCTGCTTTAACCTTTCCAGAAGAAGGTGTAGCAGGCGCTATTTCTCCTCCTTCAGTTGCCTTTCATCCTCTTGGTCGGGTTTCAAAGAGCGCAGTAAGCTCGATCAAAAATCTTCCCAGTTCTCTTGCGATGATCGCAGTACGTCTTCCCATGGTGATCACCGGTTTCATTGTCCTGTCAAGTTTCGCACGTTCAAGGTTACCAAAATTTAATTTTCTTTGTTTTTGACCGCAAAGAGGTGATCCCGCTCGATGCGGTAAACCTGTCGGGAGTTCTGAGGCAGGCTATATTTAGGGCACCTTTCCCAGCCCCTTCCCCTACTGGGGTGAGCAGAGCGGACCCTAAAAAGGGCCGCTCAGTCATGGGTGCGGCTGCCCGAAAAGCTCTAATCTGCCTGTGTCCCCGACCAAGACGACTGAATCAAGCACCCACCGCCTGCGTGCCAGTTCCTGGCTAGGAGCTGCCAGACTTATCATTCGCCTGCTCCCGTCACCATTGGCCGATTGCCACGGGGCTTTGAATCCAGGATTTGCAAGAGTTTTTGGACGCCTGCGCGTTATTTCTTTTAACGTGGGGAGACTGATGCACAGGCAGCCACCGCACGGTCCTGTGACAGAGAGGGAACAGGGTCCAATGGCATGGAGGCTAACAGCGATTGTTGCAGCCTTTACGCTGGCCTTCACAACCATTGTGACTTTGCCCATCATCTTCTGCCCGCTCCGACGTTGAGGTCTCTTTGTTGGATCGCGCTTTGTCTGAAAACCTCCCCCTTGACCTCACTGCCATTGGTGACCCCCTACCAGGAGTTTAGGCCCACATGCGTGGCTAAGCTCCAGACGACATCGCTCTTGGGGTCTCAGGGACGCACGCAAGTTTCACCACGGCAAGGTGGCGATCGTCGGAAAAGGCCGCAGATTTGACTGCTCATCATGAGCTATAGGTGCTCTGACACTTGCATTGTCTGTGCACTGTTTGCCTTTTGGGTGTTGTTCTCTGGTCTACTAACACTGGTGGTCAGAGAAGGCCATAAAGCATAAAGAAGGCTGTCTCTGGTGTAGGCCAATCAATTTCACAGACAACATGATTTCAATCGGAAAATGTTTGTCTGCATGTTTGGCCACAAGTAATGTGTGGTTAATGCAGACTTGATGCCTTGCAAAAGGTATCTACAGTAGACACCCGTATTTACGAACACCGGTACTTACGAACACCCTTGTTGATGAACACCCGTACTTATGAACACCCAGACTTACGAGCACTCGTACTTATGAACACCCGTACTTATGAACACCCATACTTATAAACACCCATACTTATGAACACACGTACTTACAAACGCCCATGCTTATGAACACCCGCATTTATGAACACCCAGACATACGAGCACTCATACTTATCAACACACGTACTTATGAACACCCGTACTTATGAACACACGTACTTATAAACACCCGTACTTATGAACACACGTACTTACAAACGCCCATGCTTATGAAAGCCCGTAATTACGAATGCCCCCTACTTCCGAACACCCTGCACTTATGAACACCCGTACTTATAAACACCCGTGCTTATACCGTACTTACGAAAGCCCCTCTTTATGAACACCCCTACTTACGAACGCCCATACTCATGAAAGCCCGTACTTACGCATGCCACTACTTACGAACCACCTGCACTTATGAACACGTACTTATGAACACCTGACTTACTAACACACTTACGAACGCCTGTATTTACGAAAGCCCCTACTTACGAACACCCGTACTTAGGAATACCCCTACTTACGAACACCCGTAATTACGAACACCCGTACTTGCGAACACCCGCACTTATGAACACCGATTCTTACGAATACCCGACTTAAGAACACCCATACTTACAAACAACCGTACTTAAAACACCCACACTTATGAACGCCCATTCTTATGAACAACCGTACTTATGAATGCCTCTACTTACGAACGCCCCTATTTATGAACATCCGTACATAGGAACACCCGTGCTTATGAACACCTTTGCTTATGAACATCCATGCTTACGAACTATCTTACTTACGAACGCCCCTACTTATGAACGCCCATATTTACGAACACCCTTACTTATTAACATCTATACTTATAAGCACCCATCTATACTTATAAGCACCCACCAAACACACCAGTGGCAGCGACTATCTGAACTGGTCCTGGGCCTTCCCTAGATCGACTCGGCCTCAAGTGAGCACCTGGTGCGTCGGTCTGTAGTAAACATCGCCGCCGCTAGGGGGAGACGGAGGTGGCAAAGGTGTGGTTGATGGCCACCGACCCCTTCCATAGACGCTGCTGCTACTCTCTACCAACAGCCGCTTGCCCCAACAGTCTGTTGAGGCTACGAGGCGTGAGCGAAACGTTGCCTCTGTTCTTCTCCGCCATCGCATCCGCGTCTTGACGTCCTCACGGTCGCCCCCCCCCCCCCCGTTTCCGCCATTCACGACTTGCGTCGCCTTTTGCTTTCTTTGACCCTCCGTCGCCGTGTCACCCCCCCCCCCCACCCACCCACGCACAGTCACACAGGTAGCCACTGGGAGCGTGGGCGTCTGGGGGGGGGTCGATTGTGCTCCTGGGAAATGCCACCTATTTTTTTATTGTATTTTTTACTGTTGGTTTTTTTTGTTCTAACCAGAGTGTAAGGGCCCTACTCGGAGAGACCCACAGAGACCCATAATCATAGAGACCCACAGAGACCCATACTCATAGAGACCCTTACTCATAGAGACCCATACTCATAGAGACCCACAGAGACCCATACTCACAGAGACCCACAGAGACCCATACTCATAGAGACCCACAGAGACCCATACTCATAGAGACCCATACTCATAGAGACCCACAGAGACCCATACTCATAGAGACCCACAGAGACCCATACTCATAGAGACCCACAGAGACCCATACTCATAGAGACCCATACTCATAGAGACCCACAGAGACCCATACTCATAGAGACCCATACTCATAGAGACCCACAGAGACCCATACTCATAGAGACCCATACTCATAGAGACACATACTCATAGAGACCCACAGAGACCTATAATCATAGAGACCCACAGAGGCCCATACTCATAGAGACCCACAGAGACCCATCCTCATAGAGACCCACAGAGACCCATACTCATAGAGGCCCACAGAGACCCATAATCATAGAGACCCATAGAGACCCATACTTCTAGAGACCCACAGAAACCCATAATCATAGAGACCCACAGAGACCCATACTCCTAGAGACCCACAGAGACCCATAATCATAGAGACCCACAGAGACCCATACTCAAAGAGACCCATCCTCATAGAGACCCACAGAGACCCATACTCATAGAGACCCACAGAGACCCATACTCATAGAGACTCTTACTCATAGAGACCCACAGAGACCCATACTCATAGAGACCCACAGAGACCCATACTCATAGAGACCCTTACTCATAGAGACACATAGAGACCCATACTCAGAGACCCAGAGAAACCCATACTCATAGAGACCCACAGAGACCCATACTCATAGAGACCCACAGAGACCCATACTCATAGAGACCCACAGAGACCCATACTCATAGAGACCCACAGAGACCCATACTCATAGAGACCCATACTCATAGAGACCCACAGAGACCCATACTCATAGAGACCCACAGAGACCCATACTCATAGAGACCCATACTCATAGAGACCCATACTCATAGAGACCCACAGAGACCCATACTCATAGAGACCCATACTCATAGAGACCCACAGAGACCCATACTCATAGAGACCCATACTCATAGAGACCCATACTCATAGAGACCCACAGAGACCCATACTCATAGACCCACAGAGACCCATGCTCATAGAGACCCATACTCATAGAGACCCATACTCATAGAGACCCACAGAGACCCATACTCATAGAGACCCTTACTCATAGAGACCCACAGAGACCCATACTCATAGAGACCCACAGAGACCCATAATCATAGAAACCCAGAGACCCATACTCATAGAGACCCACAGAGACCCATACTCATAGAGACCCATAGAGACCCATATTCCTAGAGACCCACAGAGACCCATACTCATAGAGACCCACAGAGACCTATAATCATAGAGACCCACAGAGGCCCATACTCATAGAGACCCACAGAGACCCATCCTCATAGAGACCCACAGAGACCCATACTCATAGAGGCCCACAGAGACCCATAATCATAGAGACCCATAGAGACCCATACTCCTAGAGACCCACAGAAACCCATAATCATAGAGACCCATAGAGACCCATACTCCTAGAGACCCACAGAGACCCATAATCATAGAGACCCACAGAGACCCATACTCAAAGAGACCCATCCTCATAGAGACCCACAGAGACCCATACTCATAGAGACCCACAGAGACCCATACTCATAGAGACTCTTACTCATAGAGACACATAGAGACCCATACTCAGAGACCCACAGAGACCCATACTCATAGAGACCCACAGAGACCCATACTCATAGAGACCCTTACTCATAGAGACACATAGAGACCCATACTCAGAGACCCAGAGAAACCCATACTCATAGAGACCCACAGAGACCCATACTCACAGAGACCCATAGAGACTCATACTCCTAGAGACCCACAGAGACCCATACTCATAGAGACCCATAGAGACCCATACTCACAGAGACCCACAGAGACCCATACTCATAGAGACCCATACTCATAGAGACCCACAGAGACCCATAATCATAGAGACCCATAGAGACCCATATTCCTAGAGACCCACAGAGACCCATACTCCTAGAGACCCACAGAGATCCCTACTCATAGAGACCCGCAAATGTTTTTTCTTATTTTGCCAGGTAAAATGTGTCGCGCTTTCGTACGCAGGGTGCGAAATAATTTCAACACACACACACACAGAGTCGCTTACATGGTGTGGTCATGCCAAGTGTGGTTGTGTATGTTGTGGTCGTGGTGGTGGTGGTGGTGCTCTGATTGTAGTTGTGGCGGTTGTGCTGTGGTTGTGGCTGCGGTGGTTGTGGCTGCAGGTCGCTGTGCTCCGGTGCTGTGCTCCCACTGCCGTTCGAGCCTCCACGCGGGCAGCGTCGCCTACCAGAAGCGAGGCTCCGCACGCCTCTTCTGCTCCACCGCCTGCCTCAGATCCTTCTCCTCCTCCTCGCTGCCTCCACGCGCCTGCCACCGTTGTGGAGTGTCAGTTGGAGACGCGCGCACACACACATACACACATACACATACACACACGCACATACACACGCGCACATACACACACGCACATACACACACACATACACATGCACATACACACGCACATACACACACACATACACATGCACATACACACACACATACACACACACATACACACGCACATACACACACACATACACACACGCACATACACACACACATACACACACACATACACACGCACATACACACGCACATACACACGCACATACACACATGCACATACACACATACACACACACATACACACATACATACACACACACATACACACGCGCACATACACACATACACACACGCACATACACACACACATACACATGCACATACACACACACATACACAGGCGCACATACACACATACACACATGCACATACACACACACATACACACGCGCACATACACACACACACATACACACGCGCATACACACGCGCATACACACGCGCATACACACACACATACACATGCACATACACACGCACATACACACACACATACACACGCGCACATACACACACACACATACACACGCGCATACACACATACACACGTACACACACATACACACGCGCACACACATACAAAACAAAGACAAATATTCCCCATATAGCCTTAACAGACTGTAGGGGCAAGTGCTGTTAGCAAGCACCTGTGAAGGCCGGTAACGGTACACGAGGAGGTGGGTGGCCAGCACCACGCCCGACCGCCTTTGTCTCCCTAGTGGTAATGTTTACACACCGCACCAGGCACTCATTTGAGGCTGAGTCGACCTAGGGGAGGCCCGGGACCGGTTAAGATAATCGTCACTGGTGTTGGCCGTGAGCGGGAATCGAACCCGGGTCGCCAGGTTCATAGCGCAGCGTAGCGCTAACCACTACACTATCGCTCCCCACACACGCGCACATACACACGTACACACACATACACACGCGTGCATATACGCACGCACGCACACGAACATACGCACACACGCACATATACGCACACGCACATACACGCGCACGCATGCACACGCGCGTGCACACACACACACACGCGGACACACATACACACGCACACACGCACACACACACACACGCAGACACACACACACACGCATATACACGCACGCACACACACACGCGCACGCTGACACGAATGGAGAGAGAGACACTACACCCTCTCTCTCTCCCCGTGTCTCTCTCACCATGTTTCTCTGTGTCTCTCTGTGTCTCTCAGTCTCTCTGCATGTCTTTCTCCTCACAGGGACATTGTGAACTCTGTCTCTCTGTGTAGGGACATTGTGAACTCTGTCTCTCTGTGTAGGGACATTGTCAACTCTGTCTCTCTGCTCACAGGGACATGGTGAACTCTGTCTCTCTGTGTAGGGACATTGTCAACTCTGTCTCTCTGCTCACAGGGACATGGTGAACTCTGTCTCTCTGCTCACAGGGACATTGTGAACTCTGTCTCTCTGTGTAGGGACATTGTGAACTCTGTCTCTCTGTGTAGGGACATGGTGAGTTCTGTCTCTCTGCTCACAGGGACATTGTGAACTCTGTCTCTCTGTGTAGGGACATTGTGATCTCTGTCTGTCTGTGTAGGGACATTGTGAACTCTGTCTCTCTGCTCACAGGGACATTGTGAACTCTGTCTCTCTGCTCACAGGGACATGGTGATCTCTCTGTCTCTCTGCTCACAGGGACATTGTGAACTCTGTCTCTCTGCTCACAGGGACATGGTGAACTCTGTCTCTCTGTGTAGGGACATTGTGAACTCTGTCTCTCTGCTCACAGGGACATTGTGAACTCTGTCTCTCTGCTCACAGGGACATTGTGAACTCTGTCTCTCTGTGTAGGGACATTGTGATCTCTGTCTGTCTGTGTAGGGACATTGTGAACTCTGTCTCTCTGCTCACAGGGACATGGTGATCTCTCTGTCTCTCTGCTCACAGGGACATTGTGAACTCTGTCTCTCTGCTCACAGGGACATGGTGAACTCTGTCTCTCTGCTCACAGGGACATGGTGATCTCTGTCTCTCTGCTCACAAGGACATTGTGAACTCTGTCTCTCTGCTCACAGGGACATTGTGAACTCTGTCTCTCTGCTCACAAGGACATTGTGAACTCTGTCTCTCTGCTCACAGGGACATTGTGAACTCTGTCTCTCTGCTCACAGGGACATTGTGAACTCTGTCTCTCTGCTCACAGGGACATGGTGAACTCTGTCTGTCTGTGTAGGGACATTGTGAACTCTGTCTCTCTGCTCACAGGGACATTGTGAACTCTGTCTCTCTGCTCACAGGGACATTGTGAACTCTGTCTCTCTGCTCACAGGGACATTGTGAACTCTGTCTCTCTGCTCACAGGGACATTGTGAACTCTGTCTCTCTGCTCACAGGGACATTGTGAACTCTGTCTGTCTGTGTAGGGACATTGTGAACTCTGTCTCTCTGCTCACAGGGACATTGTGAACTCTGTCTCTCTGCTCACAGGGACATTGTGAACTCTGTCTCTCTGCTCACAGGGACATTGTGAACTCTGTCTCTCTGCTCACAGGGACATTGTGAACTCTGTCTCTCTGCTCACAGGGACATTGTGAACTCTGTCTGTCTGTGTAGGGACATTGTGAACTCTGTCTCTCTGCTCACAGGGACATGGTGAACTCTGTCTGTCTGTGTAGGGACATTGTGAACTCTGTCTCTCTGCTCACAGGGACATTGTGAACTCTGTCTCTCTGCTCACAGGGACATTGTGAACTCTGTCTCTCTGCTCACAGGGACATTGTGAACTCTGTCTCTCTGCTCACAGGGACATGGTGAACTCTCGTCGCTCCATCTCCCGTGAGGACGGGGACCGCTTCCTGGAGTTCTGCTCCTCTCCGTGCCTCTCGGCCCACGAGCTCAGCCCCAACCCCACCGCCACCCGGCCAATCACGGCGAAGCGAGACGTGGGCCACGCCCCCAAGGCCGCCAGCGGCTCCGCCCACTCCATCTCCGACTCCGCCCACTCTGTCTCTGGCTCTGCCCCAGAGACGGATGGTCACGCCCCCGTGGCCGCTGAACACTCCCCCAGGGCGTCTGGCTCTGCCCCCGATGCCGGAAACTCCGCCCTGTCGCCCGGTGACCACGCCCCCGGGACTGGAGGCTCCGCCCTCTTGGTCGGTGACCACGCCCCCGTGACCGGAGGCTCCGCCCTCCCGGCCGGTGGCCACGCTCCCGGGACCGGAGGCACCGCCCTCTTGGTCGGTGGCCACGCCCCCGTGACCGGAGGCTCTGCCCTCTCGGTCGGTGGCCACGCCCCCGTGACCGGAGGCTCCGCCCTCTCGGTCGGTGGCCACACCCCCGTGACCGGAGGCTCCGCCCTCTCGGCCGGTGGCCACACCCCCGGGACCGGAGGCTCCGCCCTCTTGGTCGTTGGCCACGCCCCCGTGACCGGAGGCTCCGCCCTCTTGGTCGGTGGCCACGCCCCCGGGACCGTAGGCTCCACCTTCTCGCTTGGAGGCCACGCCCCCGGAATGGGAGGATCCATCCCCAAGGCCCAGTGCTCTGTGTGTGGCGAGGTGAGAGCGGTAAGCAGTGCTGGTTATTATAGAGTGTGAGTGAGTGTGTGCCTGCCATATTTTCTGTCCGTCTGCTACAGCAGAGATATAGGGAATTTCAACAAGACCTACATCTCTGCTTTATTAACCTGGTCAAGGCCTATGATACCATCAGTAGGCCTGGGTTCTGGGTTGTTCTTCGTGCTTTCGGAGTCCCTGACCCTCTGCTCACGATCATTAAGGACCTTCATGATGGTGAGCGGGCCCGGGTAAAACTACATGGCCGGGAGTCAGAGCCATTCCCTGTACACCTTGGGGTGTGACAGGGATGTCCTCTTGCTCCCACATTATTTAATATCTATTTCGAGGACGTAGTTCGTGAAGCCTTCGATGGCTGCACCGGGGTAATCTCCATATGGTACAGATATAATGGGAGGCTGATCGATGTCCAGGTGTGGTCAAGGGATGGCTCCCTATTGCTCAACATCGTTATGCATGCCAATGATCTGGTGATTGCTGCTCACACCTGGAGTGTGGCACTAAGAGATGTGGGGCCTTCCATCAGCCCCACCAAAACTAAACACTTGCCTTGGGTATTTTGTGCCATCAGACACTCCACCCCCACAACTCCCAAATTGGTGATGGGGCTGTTGTGGAGAGAGTGGAGAGTTTCCCATACCTGGGCAGTGTGCTTATGACCGGCTCCAGTTTAACAGCAGAGGTCTCACTCCGAATCAGTCGAACGGCAATATTTTTTCATCGGTTGCGTAACGCTGTGTGGAAGCTACCTGGTCTGTCGCTCCGCACGAAGCTTCAGGTCTTCTCGGCCACGGTCATTCCCTCCCTTCTCTACGCTTGCGAAACGTGGACCCCCTAATGGAACATCTTCGCCGGTTAGAAACATTTAGGCTGGCCTGCCTACGACCCATCCTGGGTTTAGCCTGCAGGCTGGATTGTGTGAGGAGCTCACAAATCCTTGAAAGATCTGGACAAAGAGATGGAGTGACGTGGTACAGGAGGACGTGGAGCTGAGTGGACTTGCCGATGACTGGTACCAGCGGTGTCAATATCGGCTCATGAAGGATGTTGCTACTGGGCAGTTGGAGGCAGTCGCCCTCCAAAAACAACGGAGGGCGGAGGAGCGACGCTCACAACAATGAGCGGAGCGCCGGGTGGCTAAAGCACAGCAACTTGGCACAGTAGGGGGCACAGGTGGTGCATCGGCCACTCATCTCAATCAGTCGACCCGTGGCACCTGGGTCTGCCCCGTGACCTCCTGCCAGCGGGCGTTCGACACTTCACGTGGCCTTAACCTGCACCTAGCCTGGCACAAGCGCCGTGGTGACGTCACCACCACTTAGTGGTGAACGGCGGTTGTTGAGTGAGTGTAGTGTGTGATTTAAGAGAGTGTGAGTTTGTGTGTGTGGGAGACGTACAGAGACCCATAGACTCACACAGAGACCCATAGAGTTGCACAGAGACCCATAGACTCACGCAGAGACCCATAGACTCACACAGTGACCCATAGACTCACACAGACACCCATAGACTCACACAGACACCCATAGAGTCGCGCAGAGACCCATAGACTCACACAGACACCCATAGACTCACACAGAGACCCATAAAGTCGCACAGAGACCCATAGACTCGCACAGAGGGTCCCTTAGACTCGCACAGAGACCCATAGACTCACACAGAGACCCATAGACTCACACAGTGACCCATAGACTCACACAGACACCCATAGACTCACACAGACACCCATAGACTCGCACAGAGACCCATAGACTCACACAGACACCCATAGAGTCGCGCAGAGACCCATAGACTCACACAGAGACCCATAGAGTCGCACAGAGGGTCCCTTAGACTCGCACAGAGACCCATAGACTCACACAGTGACCCATAGACTCACACAGAGACCCATAGACTCACAGAGACACCCATAGACTCGCGCAGACACCCATAGACTCACACAGACACCCACAGACTCACGCAGACACCCATAGACTCACGCAGACACCCATAGACTCACGCAGAGACCCATTTTGATTCCCATCCTCCCATCCTCCCCCCCCCCCCCCCGCTCTGCTGGCCAGGTGCTACGCTCCGTGCGTCTGCATCAACAGCAGCCCGGGGCCACCGCTGCTGCGTCCGTGTGCAGCGACGCCTGTGCTTCGACGCTCCTGGGCAAGCCGTGCTGCACCTGGTGTGGCAAGCCGGCCTTGCACACGACGGCCGCCGGCGCCGCTATCACGGCTGCCGGTGCTGCCGGTGCTGCTGCCGGTGCTGCCGGTGCTGCCGGTGCTGCCGGTGCTGCTGCCGGTGCTGCTGCATCGCACGCTGACACACAGCCACACGGCTTCTGCTCGCTGCAGTGCAGAGACTCGTACAGACAAGTGAGTGTGCCGACCAGTGGCGCTCCCTCTGTCGCTCTCTTCCCCTGCCTCTCCCTCGCCCCTTCTCCTCCCCTCGTGCATCGCCACTCTCTCACTCGCTCTCTGTGCGTACGTTTGTGTTCGTACGTGTGTGTACGTGTGTGTGTGCGTGCGTGTGTGTGCGTGTGTGTTCGTGCGTAGGGGGAGCGGTGGTGCAGTTTCAGTTTAATGTATTTGGTATAACCCCGTGAGCCGTGCGGCTCTTGATTTGGGTGCAACCGCAACAAAAAACTAAAACACGAACAAGAAAACATCTTAAAGTGACTACACGCAACAGAAAAATCCAGGAAAAAAAATAGCAAAAGTCTTCCGGAAAAAAACACCGCATTTCAACGCTGTGTGCAAAAAATCCCAGTGGGATGCTAGTCAAACAATAACAACCATAAGACAATTTAGATTAAAGTTTATCAGGCTAACTTCCATACTACAACAAGCAAACATGGCTGAATCACCAAAATAAATCTATGAAAACAATGTAACGGTGATCATAGGAGCTGTGATTCAAATTTAACAATAAACGATATACACATAACATGTACGACCAAACTTTGCAGCCATAGCTGGCTGCAAGAAGTCACTCCATAACAGCAGGAGTATCATCAGCAGAATCTACATTTTTCATTGCACCTTTAAAGATCAGCACATTATAATAAAAACTCAAGATCATACTTTGTCATCCGGAGCGATACACATTTGATTTCAGGCCACTCTCGATAGCAGTGGCAGCTGGGGGTGTACAACTCGTCTAGAGCAGTTTTGAGTGAAGATCTCACAGCCAGTGATCCAAGTTGCAGTTTTATTGGCGATAGCATTCCAGACCCTGGGGGGCATCAATAGCGAAGGCCCTTCCTGCAGTATTTGTACGGCAATAGGGAATGTGAAGCTGGTAAATGAGCCACGACCTCAGGTGCAGCGGTTAGCCTGGCCGCGCTTTGATTCAATCCACCGGAGTCCCATCCGCGCTCACGGCCAGCAGCACCAGCGATAGCGATTATTATATTTCGATTTAAAGCTTTCGTGACTGCAATGGTTCATCTTCTTTGGTTCTTTCGGTAAAGTCACGTAGAATGAGAATAAAATAATAAATTGATAAAATAAAATAACACAATAATATTTGAGAATATTTGAGAATATTATAGTGTTATTTTATTTTATCAATTTATTATTTTATTCTCATTCTACGTGACTTTACCGAAAGAACCAAAGAAGAGCGATTATTATCTTAACCGGTCCTGGGCCCCCTCCCCCAGATCTACTCCGCCTCAAATGATTTCCCCGTGCCAGTGCTGATGTGTAGTAGACGTCACCGCTGGGGGAGACAAAGGCGGCCGGGCGCTGTGCCTGCCAGCCGCCCACTTGCCTCCCGAAGAGTCTGCCACAGCGACGCGTGTGGGGTGACCTTTGTCGTTGTCTAGGCCCAGGGCAGGCTGGAGAGCTGTGCCTGGTGCCAGGCGCGGTGCATCCGCGCCGACATGGCGGAGCTGAGCGTGGATGGTCAGGGCACGCGGCACTTCTGCAGCGACTCCTGCCAGCTGTCGTTCCGCCTTCGCACCATCAGCGCTGCAGGTATCCGCGCGCACGCACGCATGTACACACGCACACACACGCACACACGCACACACGCGCACACACGCACGTACACATGCGCACACACGCACGCACACGCATGTACACACGCGCACACACGCGTGTACACACGCGCACGCACGCACATGTACACAGTCACACATGCACACACACGCACATACACATACATAAAACAACAACCGCCATTCGCCACTAAGTGGCGGTGACGTCACCACGACGCTTGTGCCAGGCTATGTGCACCTTGAGGCCACGTGAAGTGTCGAACGCCCGCTGGCAGGTCACGGGGCAGACCCAGGTGCCACGGGTCGACTGACTGAGATGACTGGCTGATGCACCACCTGTGCCCCCTACTGTGCCAACCTGCTGTGCTTTAGCCACCCGGCGCTCCGCTCGTTGTTGTGAGCGTCGCTCCTCCGCCCTCCGTTGTTGTTGGAGGGCGACTGCCTCCAACTGCCCAGTAGCGTCCTTCACGAGTCTCCTCCACAGAGGCCGATCTTGTCACCGCTGGTACCAGTCATCGGCAAGTTCACTCAGCTCCGCATTCTCTTGTACCACGTCATTCCATCTCTTCTCTAGTCCATGCCGCACCCGTTTAGCCTCCTCTATCTGGCCGAACAAAAATAATTTAGACTTGCGGTGGTTGGGCCATGCGTGCACATTGACCCAGCCAACGCAGCCTTGCCTGCCAGAGTAGCTCACCGATGGGACTTTGTCCAGATCCTTCAAGGATTTGTGAGCTCCTCACACAATCCAGCCTGGTTAAACCCAGGATGGATCGTAGGCAGGCTAGCCTAAATGTTTCTAACCGGCGAAGATGTTCCATTAGAGGGGTCTACGTTTCGCAAGCATAGAGAAGGGATGGGATGACCATGGCCGAGAAGACCTAAAGCTTCGTGTGGAGCAACAGACCTGGTAGCTTCCACACAGCGTTACGCAACCGATGAAAAGATATTGCCGCTCGACTGATTCGGAATGAGTCCTCTGCTGTAAAACTGGAACTGATCATAAGCACACTGCCCAGGTATGGGAAGCTCTTCACTCTCTCCACAACTGCCCCGTCACCTATTGCGAGTGTCTGATGGCACAACATATCCAGGCAGGTGCTTATACGTAACAAAGACAAAGATCCCCCAGTGTAGCCTTAACAGACTGTTGGGGCAAGTGCTGTTCGTGAGCACCTATGAAGGCCGGCATGACACACGAGGGGGTGGGTGGCCAGCACCACGCCCGGCCGCCTTTGTCTCCCTAGTAGCGATGTTAACTACAAACCGCTACACCGGGTATTGATTTGAGGCTGAGTCGACCTAGGGAAGGTTCAGGAACTGGTTCAGATAATCGTCACTGGTGTTCACCGTCAGCACAGAGACCCATACTCATCACTCAGAGACTCACAGACTCATTACACAGAGACCCACAGACTCATCACATAGAGACCCACAGACTCATCATGCAGAGACCAATAGACTCATCACACACAGACCCACAGACTCATCACACAGAGACCCATAGACTCACCACACAGAGACCCATAGACTCACACAGAGACGCATAGACTCACACAGAGACCTGTAGACTCACACAGAAACCCATCGACTCACACAGAGACCCATAGACTCACACAGAGACCCATAGACTCACACAGAGACCCATAGACTCACACAGAGACCCCTAGACTCACACAGAGACCCATAGACTCACACAGAGACTCATATACTCACACAGAGACCCATAGACTCACACAGAGACCCCTAGACTCACACAGAGACCTGAGTGCGATTCCCATCCACGGCCACCAGCGCCGGTGATAGCGGTCATCTGAATCAGTCCTGGGCCTCCTTCCCAAGGTCGATTCAGCCTGAAATGAGTACCTGGTGTAGCGGTGTGCAGTAAACATCGCCACTGGGGAGACAAAGGCGGCCGGGTGTGGTGCTGGCACTTTCCACCAAAAGTCTGTGCAGGCTGCACGGGGGATCTCCGTATTCGTGTGGGTATATTGGCAGAGTCGGGGGCGCATGTGGTGCATCGTCCAGCCGTCTTGAGTCGGCTGACCCCGTGGCACCTGCTGGGTCTGTCCCGTGACCTCCTGCCAGCGGGCGTTCGACGCTGCACGTGGCAGCCTTAACGGGCACCGTGGTGACGTCACCGCCACTTGGTGGCGAATGGCGGTTGTTGTTGTGTATCTGTTAGTGTATTGTGTGTGTCTGTGCGTGTCTGTGTGTGTCCGTGTGATTGTTGTCTATCTGTGTATTGTCTGTGTGTGTCTGTGTGTGTGCGTCTGTGTGTGTGTGCCTGTGTGTCACGTTGTGGGGAGCGGTAGTGTAGTGGTTAGCGCTACGCTGCTCTATGAACCCGGCGACTCGGGTTCGATTCCCGCTCATGGCCAACACCAGTGACGATTATCTGAACCGGTCCCGGGTCTCCCCTAGGTCGACTCAGCCTCAAATGAGTACCTGGTGCGGTGTGTAAACATTGCCACTAGGGAGACAAAGGCGGTCGGGCGTGGTGCTGGCCACCCACCCCCTCGTGTGCCGTTCCGGCCTTCATAGGTGCTGCTCGCTAGCAGCACTTGCCCCTACAGTCTGTTAAGGCTACACGGGGGATCTTTGTCTTTGTGTGTCGTTGTGTCACGTGCGTGTGTCACGTGTGTGTGTGTGTGTGTCACGTGCGTGTGTCACATGCGTGTGTGTGTCATGTGTGTCACGTGTGTGTGTGTGTCACGAGTGTGTGTCATGTGTGTCACGTGTGTGTGTGTCACGAGTGTGTGTCATGTGTGTCACGCGTGTGTGTGTCACGAGTGTGTGTCACGTGTTTCACGTGTTTCACGTGTTTCACGTGTGTCACGTGTGTAGGTGTGCAGGTAGCGTGCTTCTTCTGCAAGGTCAACGCCATCCCCCAGTTCCACCTCACCATGGCCGACTCCTCCATCCGCAACCTGTGCTCACAGAGCTGCCTAACGCTCTACCAGGTAACAACGTACTACATACATGTTACATACATGTTACATACATGTTACATACATACAACCTGTGCTCACAGACCTGCCTCACACTCTACAGGTGGGAGTCGGACTCCTCCACACAGACTCGCACGGAGACCCATAGACTCATCACACAGAGACCCATAGACTCACACAGAGACCCATAGACTCATCACACAGAGACCCATAGACTCACCACACAGAGACCCACAGGCTCATCACATAGAGACCCACAGACTCACCACACAGAGACCCACAGACTCACCACACAGAGACCCACAGACTCACCACACAGAGACCCACAGACTCACCACACAGAGACCCACAGACTCACCACACAGAGACCCACAGACTCATCACACAGAGACCCACAGATTCACCACACAGAGACCCATAGACTCATCACACAGAGACCCATAGACTCATCACACAGAGACCCATAGTTTGTTGTCCATCCCCCGCACCTCCTGTGTGAGAGGAGTGAGTGTGTCTGTGTGTGTCTGTGTGTCTGTGTGTGTCTGTGTGTGCCTGTGTGTATCTCTGTGTCTCTGTATCTATATATTTAAGACGTAGGCTTTCGCGACCAATATCCATAAGAGAGGTTTTATTTCGACTTGAAACTTTCGTGACTTCAGGAATTCATGTTCTTTGGTTGCAATCGAAACGTCGTAGTTTTTTGTTGTTTTTCGTTATTTTCTCTCAACCTATCTACGTGACTTTAGAGAAAGACACAACTCATTGGGGTGTTAGCCTCTAAAGGCAAACTGTTTATATAAAGGTTTGGAGATGGGCGTAGCCCAAGTGTGTCAGCAGCGTGGGCAGGGCAGCAATGCCATCGCAGCAGCAATGTGTATAGTGTAGTGTATAGTGTAGTGTATAGTGTAGTGTACTAGTACAGCACTAGTGTATAGTGTAGTGTATAGTGTAGTATACTAGTACAGCACTAGTGTATAGTGTAGTGTATAGTGTAGTGTATAGTGTAGTGTATAGTGTAGTGTACTAGTACAGCACTAGTGTATAGTGTAGTGTATAGTGTAGTGTACTAGTACAGCACTAGTGCATAGTGTAGTGTATAGTGTAGTGTACTAGTACAGCACTAGTGTATAGTGTAGTGTATAGTGTAGTGTACTAGTACAGCACTAGTGTATAGTGTAGTGTATAGTGTAGTATACTAGTATAGCACTCGTGTATAGTATAGTGTATAGTGTAGTATACTAGTACAGCACTAGTGTATAGTGTAGTGTATAGTGTAGTGTACTAGTACAGCACTAGTGTATAGTGTAGTGTATAGTGTAGTGTACTAGTACAGCACTAGTGTATAGTGTAGTGTATAGTGTAGTATACTAGTATAGCACTAGTGTATAGTGTAGTGTATAGTGTAGTATACTAGTATAGCACTCGTGTATAGTATAGTGTATAGTGTAGTATACTAGTACAGCACTAGTGTATAGTGTAGTGTATAGTGTAGTGTACTAGTACAGCACTAGTGTATAGTGTAGTGTATAGTGTAGTATACTAGTATAGCACTAGTGTATAGTGTAGTGTATAGTGTAGTATGCTAGTATAGCACTAGTGTATAGTGTAGTATACTAGTACAACACTAGTGTGTAGTGTAGTTTACTAGTACACCACTAGTGTATAGTGTAGTTTACTAGTACACCACTAGTGTATAGTGTAATGTATAGTGTAGTATACTAATACAGCACTAGTGTAAAGTGTAGTGTATATTGTAGTGTATAGTGTAGTATACTAGTACAGCACTAGTGTAAAGTATACTAGTACAGCACTGGTGTAAAGTGTAGTGTAAAGTGTAGTGTATATTGTAGTGTATAGTGTAGTGTATATTGTAGTATACTAGTACAGCACTAGTGTAAAGTATACTAGTACAGCACTAGTGTAAAGTGTAGTGTAAAGTGTAGTGTAAAGTGTAGTGTAAAGTGTAGTGTAAAGTGTAGTGTATATTGTAGTGTACTAGTACAGCACACCAGTTGTGTGTTGGAGAGCCAAGCCACAACATTCACAATCTGAGTACGACATTCCGCCAGTAATTACAACCAGTTTCATCAGGCGACAGCCAGATTTGTGGAGAAGTCCACCAGTTTCCTTCCTTATAGAGAGGCGTAGATGTGGTGACCACTCTTCTGCGCTCTCTGTGTGTATATCTACGTCTGTGTGTGTGTGCGAGCAGTGAGTGTGTCTGTGTGTCTCTGTGTATGTCTCTCTGTGTGTATATCTATGTCTGTGTGTGTGTGTGACCAGCGAGTGTGTCTGTGTGTCTCTGTGTATGTCTCTCTGTGTGTATATGTATATCTGTGTGTGTGTGCAACCAGCGAGTGTCTGTGTGTCTCTGTGTATGTCTCTCTGTGTGTATATCTACGTCTCTGTGTGTGTGCGAGCAGTGAGTGTGTCTGTGTGTCTCTATGTATGTCTCTCTGTGTGTATAACTACGACTGTGTGTGTGTGTGCAGCGAGTGTGTCTCTGTGTATGTCTCTCTGTGTGTATAACTATGTCTGTGTGTGTGCGAGCAGTGAGTGTGTCTGTGTGTCTCTGTGTGTCTCTGTGTGTGTCTCTCTGTGTGTATATCTACGTCTTTGTGTGTGTGCGAGCAGTGAGTGTGTCTGTGTGTCTCTGTGTATGTCTCTCTGTGTGTATAACTACATCTCTGTGTGTGTGTGCGACCAGCGAGTGTGTCTGTGTCTCTGTGTATGTCTCTCTGTGTGTATATCTATGTCTGTGTGTGTGTGTGACCAGCGAGTGTGTCTGTGTGTCTCTGTGTATGTCTCTCTGTGTGTCTATCTATGTTTGTGTGTGTGTGCGACCAGCGCGTGTGTCTGTGTGTCTCTGTGTATGTCTCTCTGTGTGTATAACTATGTCTGTGTGTGTGTGAGCAATGAGTGTGTCTGTGTGTCTCTCTGTATGTCTCTCTGTGTGTATATCTGTGTGTGTGTGCAGCGAGTGTGTCTGTGTGTCTCTGTGTATGTCTCTCTGTGTGTATACCTATGTCTCTGTGTGTCTCTGTGTATGTCTATGTGGGTATATCTATGTCTGTGTGTGTGTGTGTGAGCAGCGAGTGTGTCTGTGTGTCTCTGTGTATGTCTCTGGGTGTGTCTCTGTGTGTATATATACACGTCTGTGTGTGTGTGTGTGTGAGCAGCGAGTGTGTCTGTGTGTCTCTGTGTATGTCTCTGTGTATGTCTCTGTGTATGTCTCTGTGTGTATATATACACGTCTGTGTGTGTGTGTGTGACCAGCGAGTGTGTCTGTGTGTATGTCTCTCTGTGTGTATAACTACGTCTGTGTGTGTGTGTGTGTGTGCAGCGAGTGTGTCTCTGTGTATGTCTCTCTGTGTGTATAACTACATCTCTGTGTGTGTGCAGCGAGTGTGTCTGTGTGTCTCTGTCTATGTCTCTCTGTGTGTATAACTACATCTGTGTGTGTGCGTGCGACCAGCGCGTGTGTCTGTGTCTCTGTGTATGTCTCTCTGTGTGTATAACTATGTCTGTGTGAGCAGTGAGTGTGTCTGTGTGTCTCTGTGTATGTCTCTCTGTCTGTATATCTATGTCTGTGTGTGTGAACAATGAGTGTGTCTGTGTCTCTGTGTATACCTCTCTGTGTGTATAACTACGTCTGTGTGTGTGTGCAGCGAGTGTGTCTATGTGTCTCTGTATGTCTCTCTGTGTGTATATCTATGTCTGTGTGTGTATGAGCAATGAGTGTGTCTGTGTGTCTCTGTGTGTATCTGTGTATGTCTCTCTGTGTATAACTATGTCTGTGTGTGTGTGAGCAATGAGTGTGTCTGTGTGTCTCTGTGTATGTCTCTCTGTGTGTATATCTATGTCTGTGTGTGTGCAGCGAGTGTGTCTGTGTGTCTCTGTGTATGTCTCTCTGTGTATAACTACGTCTGTGTGTGTGTGCAGCGAGTGTGTCTATGTGTCTCTGTATGTCTCTCTGTGTGTATATCTATGTCTGTGTGTGTGTGAGCAATGAGTGTGTCTGTGTGTCTCTGTGTGTATCTGTGTATGTCTCTCTGTGTATAACTATGTCTGTGTGTGTGTGAGCAATGAGTGTGTCTGTGTGTCTCTGTGTATGTCTCTCTGTGTGTATATCTATGTCTGTGTGTGTGCAGCGAGTGTGTCTGTGTGTCTCTGTGTATGTCTCTGTGTATGTCTCTGTGTGTGTCTCTGTGTGTATATATACACGTCTGTGTGTGTGTGTGCGAGCAGCGAGTGTGTCTGTGTGTCTATGTGTATGTCTCTGTGTATGTCTCTGTGTGTATATATACACGTCTGTGTGTGTGTGTGTGAGCAGCGTGTGTGTCTGTGTGTCTCTGTGTATGTCTCTGTGTATGTCTCTGTGTGTGTCTCTGTGTATGTATGCACGTCTGTGTGTGTGTGTGCGAGCAGCGAGTGTGTCTGTGTGTCTCTGTGTATGTCTCTGTGTGTATATATACACGTCCGTGTGTGTGTGTGAGCAGCGAGTGTGTCTGTGTGTCTCTGTGTGTGTCTCTGTGTGTATATATACACGTCTGTGTGTGTGTGTGCGAGCAGCGAGTGTGTCTGTGTGTCTCTGTGTATGTCTCTCTGTGTGTATATATACACGTCTGTGTGTGTGTGTGTGCGAGCAGCGAGTGTGTCTGTGTGTCTCTGTGTATATCTCTCTGTGTGTATATCTATGTGTGTGTGCGTGTGCAGCGAGTGTGTCTGTGTGTCTCTGTGTATGTTTCTCTGTGTGTATATCTATGTCTCTGTGTATGTCTATGTGTGTATATCTATGTCTGTGTGTGTGTGTGAGCAGCGAGTGTGTCTGTGTGTCTGTGTATGTCTCTCTGTGTGTATAACTATGTCTGTGTGAGCAGTGAGTGTGTCTGTGTGTCTCTGTGTATGTCTCTGTGTATGTCTCTGTGTGTATATATATACACGTCTGTGTGTGTGTGTGCGAGCAGCGAGTGTGTCTGTGTGTCTCTGTGTATGTCTCTGTGTGTGTCTCTGTGTGTGTCTCTGTGTGTGTATATATACACGTCTGTGTGTGTGTGCGAGCAGCGAGTGTGTCTGTGTGTCTCTGTGTATGTCTCTGTGTATGTCTCTCTGTGTGTATATCTATGTCTCTGTGTGTGTGTCTCTGTGTGTGTCTCTGTGTGTGTATATATACACGTCTGTGTGTGTGTGTGAGCAGCGAGTGTGTCTGTGTGTCTCTGTGTGTGTGTCTCTGTGTATATCTCTCTGTGTGTATATCTATGTCTGTGTGTGTGTGTGTGAGCAGCGAGTGTGTCTGACGGAGCTGGGGTCTCATCTCTTCAAGAGCTCCACCACCTCCAGCTTCTCCATCCCCTTGCCTCTCCCTCCTCCTCCTCCACCTCCTCCACCTCCTCCACCTCCCTCCTCATCCACCTCCGACGAATCCCCAAACTCCCACAAGGTGAGAAGCTGCTGCGAACCTCCACTCTCCCCCCCCTCCTCCTCATCATCATCATCCTCCCCCGCTACTCAATGATCCGCTTTTCATAAGCTGAGCATCACATACCCAGCAAGTTGCTTAAGCGCACCCCCCAATTCTCAGGTTACTGAACGCACACCCCAATTCCCAGGTTACTGAACGCACACCCCAATTCCCAGGTTACTGAACGCACACCCCACTTCACACGTTACTGAACGCACACCCCACTTCACAAGTTACTGAACGCACACGCCACTTCACAGGTTACTGAACGCACACCCCACTTCACAAGTTACTGAACGCACACCCCACTTCACAAGTTACTGAACGCACACCCCACTTCACAAGTTACTGAACGCACACCCACTTCACAAGTTACTGAACGCACACCCCACTTCACAAGTTACTGAACGCACACCCCACTTCACAGGTTACTGAACGCACACCCCACTTCACAGGTTACTGAACGCACACCCCACTTCTCAAGTTACTGAACGCACACCCCACTTCACAGGTTACTGAACGCACACCCCACTTCACAAGTTACTGAACGCACACCCCACTTCACAGGTTACTTAAAGTTGGACAAAGGCGGACGGGCGTGGTGCTGGCCATAGGGCCGGCCTTCATAAGTGCCGCTACACGCTAACAGCGCTTTCCCCAATAGTCTGTTACAGGCTCCACACGGGGGGGGGGGGGTCTTTATCTTGTGTGTGTGTGTGTCTCCCTGTGCGTCTCTGTGTGTACGCGCATTTGTGTATGTGTGTGTGTGCCGTGGGAACTCTGTCGTGGACAGTGCTGTGGGGGGAGGTCCAATTCCGATTGGCTCCTCCCCTCATGGCGTCTGCGTCCACCACAGTGGCTAAACTGGGGCTCTGGATGGGTGCGAGGGGCTGGTAACCCCTCCACCTTCATTTAATTACCACTAAACTACGACTGAAATATGTAATTAATAAAGCTTGTGCGGGGGGGACAGGCGTCTATGACGTCTCCTGGCCAAACCCCAATTGGCGGAGCCAGGAGATTCAATATCTACCCATTGGCTCCTCCAGAAACAATGAAAAGCCATTACGGATAGCCACGTGGAATGTTCGAACGCTCACTGCGGAGGAGAGGCTGCCACTCCTCTGTCGGGAGCTGGACCGGTACCGCCTGGATCTCTGTGGCATTCAGGAGGTCCGGTGGACCGGTTCTGGCTCCTGCCACAATGAGGGGTGGACAGTCCTCTACTCGGGGCAGCAGACTGCCAAACAACAGGGTGTGGCTCTTCTTTTGAACAAAAGAATGAAGGGGGCGTGGGAGCGTGGCGGTGAGGTGTGGGAAGCTGTAAGCCCCAGGCTACTTTGGGCTCGCCTTCCCATCAACCGGAGGCGAGGAGTGGTGGTCGTGGTTACTTATGCCCCTACCGAAGACGAACATCCGTGGAGGGATGCAGGCAAAGCCGATGAGTCAGATGCCTTCTATGACCTCCTGTCACAGGTGCTGGCTAAAGTGGCCCCTCGGGATAGAGTCATCTTGTTGGGTGACTTCAATGCCCGAGTTAGTCATGATGCTGGCACCTGGTCTGGAGTTATTGGAGGGCATGGGCCAGATCAGCTCAATAAAAACAGTAGGAGGCTGCTAGATTTTTGTGCAGCCCATGGGCTTGTAATTACCAACACGCTGTACCGGCATCGGCACATCCACACAACATCATGGATGCATGCCGGGTCCAAGCAAGAACATCTGCTGGACTACATAGTGACGAACCAGCGGATGCGAGCCCATGTCCTTGCCACCAGGACCTACCGTGGAGCTGATCTGCCCTCTGACCATCGACTAGTCATCTGTAAGTGGCCTGGTCTCAGTTATCTGATGAAAGTTGCAAGCGAGAATTTCATCATCGCTTGCGGCTGGGGTTGGAATCATCCCCCACTCCTCCTGATGTCGAGGGTAAATGGGCGAGGTTTAGGACTGTGACTCATGTAGCTGCAATGGCTGCTTTGGGTACGCGGTCCAGACCTCCCCAGAGATCCTGGATGACAGAGGAGGTGTTCAGGATAGTTGAGAAAAAGCGACAGGCCCACTCCCATCGTCTACAGCATCCCACGTCAGAAAATGAGGAGGCTTACCGCAGCCTTCGCTCGGAGGTTCGGAGAGCCGTGAGGCGCTGCAAGGATGGGTGGTGGTCGCAGGTTGCTGAGGAGATTGAGTCTGCCTCAGTGGCCCGTGATCACAAATCTCTATTTAACGCCATCAAAAAAGTAACCTGCAGCACCACACCTATTACCATCATTAGGGGAAAAAACGGTGATCCAATCTCCGACCCCCAGGAACAGGTTTGCAGATTTGCTGAGTATTTTTGTGAAGTCCTGGCGGAGGGGAAATCCCTCAGCCAGGAAAACATCGTGGCACAAAGTGGGGATGACCCTGCTGAGGCTGCGGTGCCTCAAATATTTGAAGAAGTCACCCCCTGTGAGTGGCTGGCTGAGGTGCCATCTGTTGAGGAAGGACTGAAGGTTATCCAGAGTCTGAGACCAGGAAAGGCACTGGGCAGAGATGATCTCCCAAGCGAAATGCTGAGGGAGGGTGGCGTTTGTGCACAGACTGCCCTACATGACATTATAACAATAGTCTGGACCACTGGACGGGTTCCGCAGGATTGGAAGGATGCCCTGGTGGTCCCCCGTCTTTAAGAAGGGGGACCGCACAGACTGTAACAACTACAGGGGCATCTCACTACTCAGTGTGCCGGGAAAGGTCCTGGCAAGGATTATTCAACATCGCCTTGCTAGGCACTCTGAGGAGAGGCTTGCGGAGCCTCAATGTGGTTTCAGGATAGGGCGGTCCTGCACGGATGCCATATTTTCTGTCCGTCTGCTACAGCAGAGGTGTAGGGAATTCCAACAAGACCTACATCTCTGCTTTATTGACCTGGTCAAGGCATTAGATACCATCAGTTTTGGTCTCTGGATTGTTCTTCCTGCTTTCGGAGTCCCTGACCCTCTGCTCACGATCATTAAGGACCTTCGTGATGGTGAGAGGGCCCGGGTAAAACTACGTGGCTGGGAGTCAGAGCCATTCCCTGTACACCTTGGGGTGCGACAGGGATGTCCTCTGGCTCCCACATTATTTAACATCTATTTTGACCACGTAGTTCGTGAGGCCTTCAAAAGCTGTACCGGAGGAATTTCCATCTGGTACAGATATAATGGGAGGCTGATCGATGCCCGGGTGCTGTCAAGGGATGGCTCCCTATTGCTCAACCATGTTATGTATGCCGATGATCTGGTAATCGCTGCTCACTCAGAGGAGGAGTTGGAGGCGTTGCTGCTAAACCTGGAGCTTGTCACTAAGAGGTGGGGCCTTACCATCAGTCCCACCAAAACTAAGCACCTGCCAGAGTATTTTGTACCATTGGACACTCCACCCCCACAACTACCAATTGGTGATGGGGCAGTTGTGGAGAGTGTGGAGAGTTTCCCATACCTGGGCAGTGTGCTTATGACCGGTTCTGGTTTAACAGCAGAGGTCTCACTCAGAATCAGTCGAGCGGCATTATCTTTTCATCGGTAGCGTAACGCTGTGTGGAAGCAACCTGGTCTGTCGCTCCGCACGAAGCTTCAGGTCTTCTCGGCCACGGTCATTCCCTCCCTCCCTACGATCCATCCTGGGTTTAACCAGGCTGGATTGTGTGAGGAGCTCACAAATCCTTGAAAGTCCCATCGGGGAGCTCCTCCGGCAGGCAAGGCTGCGTTAACTGGGCCAGTTAGCTCGCATGCCCAGCCACCGCATGCCCAAACAGCTTTTGTTCGGCCGGATCGAGGGGGCTAAACGGGCGCGGAACGGGCTAGAGAAGAGATGGAGTGATGTGGTACAGGAGGACGTGGAGCTGAGTGGACTTGCCGATGACCGTTACCAGCGGTGTCAAGATCGGCCTCTATGTAGGAGGCTCGTGAAGGATGCTACTGGGCAGTTGGAGGCAGTCGGCCTCCAACAACAACGGAGGGCGGAGGAGCGACGCTCACAACAACGGGAGGAGCGACGCTCACAACAACGAGCGGAGCGCCGGGTGGCTAAAGCACAGCAAGTTGGCACAGTAGGGGGCACAGGTGGTGCATGAGCCACTCATCTCAGTCAGTCGACCCGTGGCACCTGGGTCTGCCCCGTGACCTCCTGCCAGCGGGCGTTTGACACTTCACGTGGCCTCAAGGTGCACATAGCCTGGCACAAGCGTCGTGGTGACGTCCACCACCACTTAGTGGCGCATGGAGGTTGCTGTTGTTGTGTTTATCTGTATGTGCGTCTGTGTGACTGTCTGTGTGTGTGTATTTGTATGTGTGTCTGTATGAGTGTCTGTGTGTGTATCTGTGTGTGTATCTGTATGTGTGTGTGTATCTGTATGTGTGTCTCAGTGGGGAGAGGTAGTGTAGCGGGTAGCGCTATGCTGCGCTACGAACCCGGCGACCCGGGTTCGATTCCCGCTCATGGCCAACACCCAGTGACGATTATCTGAACCGGTCCAGGGCCTCCCCTAGGTCGATTCAGCCTGAAATGAGTACCTGGTGTAGCTGTATAGTAAATATCGCCACTGGGGAGACAAAGGCGGCCGGGCGTGGCGCTGGCCACCCACTCCCTCGTGTGCCGTGCCGGCCTTTATAGGTGCTCGCTAACAGCACTTGCCTCTACAGTCTGTTAAGGCTACACGGGGGATGTTTGTCTTTGTGTGTGCGCGTGTCTCAGACGAACGGCTCTGTGGATGTGGCCACCGGCGCCTCACGCCGGCGCTGTGCTCACTGCCAGCGCGGCCTGGGCAACAGCAAGGCCATCACTCTACAGTGCAAGGTGGCCATCGCTATCCCATCCACTCACCCCACCCACTCACCACCCACCCACTCACTCACTCACCTCACCAACCCACTCACCTCACCCACCCACCCACTCACCCACCCACTCACCCACTCACCCACCCACTCACCCACTCACCCACCCACCCACTCACCCACCCACTCACCCACCCACCCACCCACTCACCCACCCACCCACCCACTCACCCACCCACCCACTCACCCACCCACTCACCCACCCACTCACCCACCCACTCACCCACCCACTCACCCACTCACCCACCCACTCACCCACCCACCCACTCACCCACCCACCCACCCACTCACCCACCCACCCACCCACTCACCCACCCACCCACCCACCCACTCACCCACCCACCCACCCACTCACCCACCCACCCACCCACTCACCCACCCACTCACCCACTCACCCACCCACTCACCCACCCACTCACCCACCCACCCACCCACTCACCCACCCACCCACCCACTCACCCACCCACCCACCCACTCACCCACCCACACACCCACTCACACACCCACCCACTCACCCACTCACTCAGTCACCCACTCAGTCACCCACTCACCCACCCACTCACCCACTTACTCACCTACCCACTCACCCACCCATTTACCCACCCACTCACCCACCCACTCACCCACCCACTCACCCACCCACCCACTCACCCACCCACTCACCCACCCACTCACCCACCCACTCACCCACTTACTCACCCACTCACTCACCTACCCACTCACCCACCCACTTACCCACCCACTCACCCACCCACTCACCCACCTACTCACCCACCCACTCACCCACCCACTCACCCACCTACTCACTCACCCACCCACTAACCCACCCACTCACCCACCCACCCACTCACCCACCCACCCACTCACCCACCCACTCACCCACTCACCCACCCACAGGTATATATCCGTGTATTGAGGGTGCTTCAAACAAAGTGTCAACACTTCTATGGGACTCTCGTTTTTAATGAAAAACGAACGGACAATAACACTTTAACATGATAACAAAAGTAATGTTAATAGTAAAGTAACGTAGAAGGGAAATAATGAAAATAAATGAAATTAAAAAACAATAAAATTCTCACGACGTTTCGATTGCAACACAAGCAATCATCATCAGGTGTGAAAATCACAGCAAGGAAGTTTTGAAAAAAGTGGCGGTAAAATGTTTTTGTTGCTGTGGTTTTCACACCTGATGATGATTGCTTGCGTTGCAATCGAAACGTCGTGTGATAATTTTTTTGTTTTATATTCTTATAATTTTATTGTTTCCCTTCTATGTGGTGGTGACTTTACCGAAAGAACTCAAGAATATGAATCCCTGCAGTCACGAAAGCTTTAAAACGAAATTTAATGTTAATAAATTTTGATTTAAAGCTTTCGTGACTGCAGGGATTCATATTCTTGAGTTCTTTTGATAAAGTCGCCACGTAGAAGGGAAATAATAAAATAAAAAATAATAAAGAAATATTTTTATTATTATTAAATTGTTCCCCTTCTACGCGACTTTACCGAGAGAACCAAGAATATAAATTTTTGATTTGAAGCTTTCGTGACTGCAGTGATTCACATTCTTGGTTCTTTCGGTAAAGTCACGTTGAAGTGAAACAATAAAATAATAAAATATATATAAAACAATAAAAATTCTCACGACGTTTCGACTGTAACACAAGCAGTCATCATCAGGTGTGAAAACCAACGGCAAGAAAAAAATAAAACGCCGTGAGAATTGTATTGTTTTATATATATTTTATTATTTTATTGTTTCCCTTCTACGAGACTTTACCGAACGAACCAAGAATCTTAATGTTAATAGCTTCAACAAGTCAGAGAGTCTTCCCATCGCTGTCAACGCGTGCCCTGGAATCTCCTCCCGGTGGTCTCCAGAGCCTGGAGGGAAGACACTCCTCGTTGTTTCGTTGCAAAATTCTCAGAAGTGTTCAAATGTCATTGAAGCACCCTGTATATTTGTATGCGTCAATCTAAATGATTGTGATAGTACAGTGAACACCTTGGATTGCGAGTAACTTGGGGCTTGCAATGACGGGCGGTAGCGCGTGTAGACACGCTTTGTACTGCCGAGCGTCACTTGATCACAACTGTTATACGAGCGCTTTGATGTACGAGCGCTTTGGATTACAAACGCGAGTTTAACGCGCAGGCTTTCGCGACCAATATTACTCATAATAAAAGGTTTTTGTTGGGTGAGATCGCGTCATTTATAAATGCGTCGTAACCCTCCACTACCCGACACGGCCAATCGGCAAAAAAAAAGTGTCACGTTGACAAAAGACAAAAATAGTTCACGACTTTAGCCCACCGGTGTGTTGAAGAGTGAATCCACAACATTGACAGCTTTGAGTAGTTCGACGTTTCGCTGGTAAATACATCCAGCATCATCGGGCAATTCACCAGAATGGTAAAGCCCTCGCTTGCTCCCGGTCTTAAATAGAGCAGCAGGGTGACGTCATCACTTAACTCATATCAGGTGCAGTGATTTGAGGCGTAGGTGGGGGGGGGGGTATTGTAATGATATTATCGATTGGTAATCAGTGAATGGTTACGATTAGTAATGAGTTGTAGATTGGAACGAATTATTGCCCGCAATCCCAATGTTTTACTGCGTGTGTCTGTATCGCTGTGACCTGCCTAGGGCTGTCCTGTTGAGCTCTGTGGCCCTGTTTGCTGCGAGGAGTTCAAGCAGCAGCATGGGGCTCGAGGGCGCTGCTCATACTGCGGCTCGGAGAGTGAGCCGCTCTTCACGGCGCGCGTCCACGACTCTCAGCTCGCGTTCTGTTCTGACGGTGACACTCACTACTGCTGCACTATGCACACTGCACTACTATACGCGCTACACTAGCATACATACTACACTACTATACACACTACACTACTATACGCACTACACTAGCATACATACTACACTACTGTACACACTACTATACACGCTATACTATTATATACTACAATATTATACATTACTACACTACTATACCCACTACACTACTATACATACTACACTACTATACACACTACACTACTATACACGCTATACTATTATACACTACAATACTATACATTAATACACTACTATACACACTACACTAGCATACATACTACACTACTATACACACTACACTACTATACACGCTATACTGTTATACACTACAATACTATACATTACTACACTACTATACACACTACACTACTATACATACATTACTATACACACTACACTACTATACACACTACACTACTATGCACACTTTACTAGTATACACTACAATACTATACATTACTACACTACTATACACACTGCACTAGCATACATACTATGCTAATATACATAATACACTACTATACACTACAATACTGTACATTACTACACTACTATACACACTACACTACTACACACACTATACTATTATACACTACAATACTATACATTACTACACTACTATACACACTACACTAGCATACATACTACACTTCTATAGACACTACACTACTATACACGCTATACTATTATACACTACAATACTATACATTAATACACTACTATACACACTACACTACTATACACACTATACTATTATACACTACAATACTATACATTACTACACTACTATACACACTACACTAGCATACATACTACACTTCTATACCCACTACACTACTATACACGCTATACTATTATACACTACAATACTATACATTAATACACTACTATACACACTACACTACTATACACACTATACTGTTATACACTACAATACTATGCTATGCACGCTACTATGCACACTACACTATTATACACACTATACTATTATACACTACAATACTAAACATTACTACACTACTATACACACTACACTACTACACACACTATACTTTTATTCACTACAATACTATACATTACTACACTACTATACACACTAAACTAGCATACATACTACGCTCGTATACGTACTACACTACTATACACTACAATGCTGTACATTACCACACTACTATACACTACAATGCTGTAGATTACCACACTACTATTCACACTACACGACTATACGTACTACGTTACTCCACACACTACCCTACACACCACCGAAGGATCATAACCTGTATACTATACACACTACACTACTATACACACTATACTATTATACACTACAATACTACACATTACTACACTGCTATACACACTACACTACTATACACACTATACTATTATGCACTACAATACTATACATTACTACACTACTATACACACTACACTACTACACACACTATACTGTTATACACTACAACACTATACACACTACACTACTATACACACTATACTATTATACACTACAATACTAAACATTACTACACTACTATACACACTACACTACTACACACACTATACTTTTATACACTACAATACTATACATTACTACACTACTATACACACTACACTACTATACACACTATACTATTATACACTACAATACTATACATTGCTACACTACTATGCACACTACACTACTATGCACACTACACTACTATACACACTATACTATTATACACTACAATACTATACATTACTACACTACTATACACACTACACTACTACACACACTATACTGTTATACACTACAATACTATACATTACTACACTACTATACACACTACACTAACATACATACTACGCTCGTATACGTACCACACTACTATACACTACAATGCTGTACATTACCACACTACTATTCACACTACACGACTATACGTACTACGTTACTCCACACACTACCCTACACACCGCCGAAGGATCATAACCTGATCGTGGTGGCGGCGTTTGTGCGTTCCATTGGCACTCGGAGCTACGTCGCCTGGAGTCGTTTACTCCTGGTCGGGTCTCCCTGGGCGAGCAAGTCTCGGGGGGGGAGGGGAGGTTCCACACACATTGCCGTCCAAACAAAAGCCCCCTCGTGAACGGTTCTGAAATGTAACAAATTTACGAGAACCTCGTCCGGACAAGGTTATCCCCGGGGCACCCCTCTGGAGCCAGGCCCTGGGGTGGGTTGGGGGGTGTGGGGGGGAGTGGGGGTGGTGTTGGCCGGCAAGCGCCTTGGTGGCCCGGGTAACCCCCCACGGGACCCGGCAGGGCCCAGCCCCGAGATGGCTACGTGAGGCGTCCGTCCTGCGGGCCCCCACGGTCCGCAGGCCGATGGGTGAGGGGGCGGTGCCGGCGTGGCAGGGAGAGGAGGGGACGGTCTGGTGGGACGGACCGGACCGCGGGGGGTAACTCCGCTATTGGGACGTGGGAATGTCCACCGTCGCTGGATGGGGAGGCCAGATCTGATGGAGGAGGCGGAAACGTATCGGTTGGGACGCGGGTCGGCCTTGCCTCCGCACGCGACGTTCGCCGCTGGAACCGAAACTTCTCGATCGGGGGGGGGGTGGTCTCTCTCTCCTATTGCGGAGTAACCCCCGGTGAGTGGCCCCCGGGAGATTGTGGGGGGGGGGGGGGGGGATACTCGCAAGCCCGCGGCTGGGTGCTGTTCAGTTGGAGTTTGTCCCAGCGTGATGAGAGGGTCGCCTCAAAGGGAGACTTCGGGTATCGGAAAGACAAACTCTGTTGTCTGTGCTTATGCACCAAACAGCAGCTCAGAGTATTCGGGCCGCTTGCAGACGGTGGGTGCACTGCCCGACCAGAGTTCAGGCATGCCGACTCCACAATCTTACTTGGGCGACTTCAGTGCTCGCGTGGGAGATACCTGGAGGGGCGGGCGTGATTGGGAGGAATGCCCCCTCCCCTCATCTGAACCTGAACCGGTGAGATGTTGCTGGAATTCTGCGCCAGTCGCGGATTGTCAATAGCGCACGCCGCGTTGGAACGCGGGCATGTTCATGAGTGTGCTCGCGTACCAGCAAACACGAACATCCGAGCGGACGATGTTCGGGATCTCGACTGTCGACGCAGCTGCGAGAAGCTGTTTGGCCTGAAGGGCAGTTGGTGCCTGTCATGGCGGCGACCCTAGGCCCCCTGGTGGACAACGGTGGTGGTGGTGGTGAGGAGGGTGAAGCTGTCAAGTTGAAAGAAGGAGGCTCTCTGAGCTGCGCTCTCCGCGGTCGATTGAGAGGTAACCGGCTTGCCGTGAGGGCGGGGCGGCTGCAGCGGTCGCTGAAGCCGAAGTCCCAAGGGGCGTGGGAGGAGTTTGGCGGGGGGAGGCGGGGGGCCGGGTGCCATGGGGAGGGACTTCCGGGCAGCCTCAAAGATGTTCTTGGTTCTTTCGGTAAAGTCACGTAGAAGGGAAACAATAAAATAATAACAAAAAATTAAAATATAAAACGATCATCATCAGGTGATGATGATTGCTTGTGTTGCAGTCGAAACGTCGTGAGAATTGTATTCTTCTTTGGTTCTTTCGGTAAAGTCACGTAGAATGAGAATAAAATAATAAATTGATAAAATAAAATAACACAATAATATTCTCACGACGTTTCGGCCACAACACAAGCGGCCTTCATCAGGTGAAGGGAGCGAGACTGTCTGGTAGGACAGCGCTGGAGTGAGAGAGCCACGTTCAGATCACGGCTTTTAAGCTGTGTGAGAAGAACAAAGAGCCTTGACGAAGGAATTAGCATAAAATTTAGCATTGAAAAGGCTGAATGATTAGCTTGTGACTGGTCACAGAAATAGCTATGTTAAAAGTTAAAGCATACACATCCGCAGAGGCACCCATTGTTAAAAGGAATTAGCATAGAATTTAGCATTGAAATAGCTAAATTAAGGCATTCGCTTGTAACTGCTACAGAAATAGTTACGTTGAAGTCAGAGCATACACATTCACCGAGGCACTTAGTACAAATCAAAACAGGAGAATTTAGCATTGAAATAACTAGGCGAATTTAGCATTGAAATAACTGGGTGATTTGCTGGTGACTGGTCACAGAATACTATATACTATATAGTGAACCAATAAAAACTAAAATATAAATTACCTTCATGTTATCAATAAACTCTATATTCTCCAATCAGCTAAGCTACCAACCATAAGTCGTTATATATCACAATGCTATATGGCGAAAAAATGGGTGGATTCTTACCCTCAAATTTCCGTACCACGGATAGCTACGGGCCCCGTTCAGACGGACGAGTTCGTCCATGGTCGGAACAGAGGAGGGGGAGAGAGACAGCTGCGAAGCCCTAGTATACTCCATGTTGTAAACCATACCATTAACCGTGGTGTGAGAGGTATTAAGAGGCAATGCTGGCGAAAGAGCTGCGGTCTGAAGGTCATCGTAAAATTACAATTAATTAAGAACAGAAATGATTTAACACATCTTTCCAGTGGTTACTAAGCCTGAATCCATCTTCTCGGTTGAAATTGTCTCTGTGCTTGTATATGTGAATGGCCTCATGAACGAATCTCTCATGGTAGCCAGTTGGTTTGCAAAGAACCTCCGTCTTGGAGAAGTCAATGTCATGTGAGCCCACTGAATTGTAACAGTGATCTGCCACGGCAGAGGAGTTCGTCTTACCGTGTTTCAAGTCTGCTTTATGTTCGCGGATGCGGTCCGAGATATGTCTTTTGGTTTCTCCAATGTAGCTACTGCCACAGAGGCACTTTAGTTTGTAAACGCCCGGGTACTGTATGTCTGGAAGAGCATCTTTTACAGATGGAACTAAATCACGGATTTTGTGTACTGTGTTGAATCGGACCTGGATCTTGTGTTTATTCAGGATTTTGGAGATCTTTTTAGTGACCCCTGCAATGTAGGGTAAGGTGATGGTTTTGAGTGGCTCCACAAGAGGATCCTTCTTCATGACTGGAGTGATGGCTTTGCGGATTGTGTAGTCGGAGTAGCCATTAGCCCTGAGAGCCTGGTGTACGTGCTTGAGTTCACTGGTAATGTGTTCCTGGTCGGAAATGCATTGGGCTCTATGGTATAGAGTCTTGATGAGGCAGTTCTTCTGGGATGGATGGTGGTGGGAATCCGGTTTCAAGTAAGCATCTGTATGGGTAGCTTTCCTGTAGACAGAGTGGCTCATTGAACCATCATGTCTCCTTTTAATTAAGACATCCAGAAAGGGTAGTTTCTGTTCTTAATTAATTGTAATTTTACGATGACCTTCAGACCGCAGCTCTTTCGCCAGCATTGCCTCTTAATACCTCTCACACCACGGTTAATGGTATGGTTTACAACATGGAGTATACTAGGGCTTCGCAGCTGTCTCTCTCCCCCTCCTCTGTTCCGACCATGGACGAACTCGTCCGTCTGAACGGGGCCCGTAGCTATCCGTGGTACGGAAATTTGAGGGTAAGAATCCACCCATTTTTTCGCCATATAGCATTGTGATATATAACGACTTATGGTTGGTAGCTTAGCTGATTGGAGAATATAGAGTTTATTGATAACATGAAGGTAATTTATATTTTAGTTTTTATTGGTTCACTATATAGTATATAGTATTCTGTGACCAGTCACCAGCAAATCACCCAGTTATTTCAATGCTAAATTCGCCTAGTTATTTCAATGCTAAATTCTCCTGTTTTGATTTGTACTAAGTGCCTCGGTGAATGTGTATGCTCTGACTTCAACGTAACTATTTCTGTAGCAGTTACAAGCGAATGCCTTAATTTAGCTATTTCAATGCTAAATTCTATGCTAATTCCTTTTAACAATGGGTGCCTCTGCGGATGTGTATGCTTTAACTTTTAACATAGCTATTTCTGTGACCAGTCACAAGCTAATCATTCAGCCTTTTCAATGCTAAATTTTATGCTAATTCCTTAGTCAAGGCTCTTTGTTCCTCTCACACAGCTTAAAAGCCGTGATCTGAACGTGGCTCTCTCACTCCAGCGCTGTCCTACCAGACAGTCTCGCTCCCTTCACCTGATGAAGGCCGCTTGTGTTGTGGCCGAAACGTCGTGAGAATATTATTGTGTTATTTTATTTTATCAATTTATTATTTTATTCTCATTCTACGTGACTTTACCGAAAGAACCAAAGAAGATGAATCATTGCAGTCACGAAAGCTTTAAATCGAGAATTGTATTGTTTTATATTTTTATTATTTTATCGTTTCCCTCCTACGTGGTGGTGACTTTACCGAAAGAAGCAAAGAATATGAATCCCTGCAGTCACGAAAGCTTTACATCAACATTTTAGCCTCAAAGATGTTCCGGCCAAAAAGCATCCCGTCGCCTTAGGGGGAGGGCTCGACGGGGTGTGGCTCAGGCTGTTCTCGGCAAGGGTGGCGGTGTAAGATGGAACTCGACTAAGGAGTATAGTTTTTCAAGTAGTAGTACCCCAAACTTTCGCAGCTTCTTAAAATCCCCCTTTCACACCACCAGCATGTGGACTATACCGTGCCACCTCGCCAGCCTGCACAGGTCGACCCCCTCCCCACCTTTCATCATGCCAAGTCCGCCTATTAAAATGCAAATTTTTTATGCTAATTGCTTTGTCGAGGCACCTTGATCCCTCTCACACAGCTTAAAGGTCCGCGGTCTGAGCTTGGCTCTGTTTCACTCCAGCGCTGTCCTCGAGACAGCCTGGTCCCTTCACCTTGTGTTGTGGCCGAAACGTCGTGATTTTTGATGTTTTAATTTTTTTTACCTACGTGGTGACTTTACCGGATAGAAGCAAAGAGTACGGAGAAGTGCCCTCCTCTCAGGAGGCAGCCCTGGAAACAGCTGGGGGTGGGGTGGGGTGGAGGGTGTCCATCCATCACGGCTTGTGAAGTCGTAGCGGCAAAGCTGCCGCGCCGGACGACATTCGCCCAGGGTTGTTTGAAGCGCCGGACAAAGCGTAGCAGTGCCGCGGTTAGCGCGCCTCTTCAATGTTGCACGGGAGGGGCGGGCGCGGTCCCTCTGGGTTGGCGGACGGGCGTCGTGGTCCCCGTGTTTAAGGTTGCCCAGAGGGTGTTCTCCGGCTGCAGAGGGATCCCGGGTCAAGCCGATGCCTCCGACTGAGGAGGAACACAGCTCTCGGTTCACAGGTCGATCTGCGTTCCCACCCTCGCCTGCTGTCCACGAGCTTTGAGGCGGCGGATGACATCGCGGGCACGGCGGGGCCAAGCTGAGGTTTCTCCGCTGAGGCTCGCCGCGATCGGGCGAGGAGCTCGGTGATCCGGGAGAGCCTTGGGGTGGAGCCGCTGCTCCTCCTACGGAGTGGGAGGAGCCGGTTGAGGTGGTTGAGGCATCTTGTGAGGATGCCCCCCCCCCCCCCCGCCCCCGGTAGACTCGCCCTGTGAAACTCAACCGGGCAGAAACCCCGGGGTGGGGGTGTGGGGGGGGGGGGGTGGTCAGCCCAGGGACACTCTGCTGGCAGGGCGATGTCGCTCGGCTGTTGCCTGGGAATTCTCCGGGAAAGAGACGGAGGCCGTAGCCGGCAGGACAAGCGGATTTGAGAAGCGAACGAACGGCACTGCTCTGGCACGCTGCGCGGGAGCTCTCCACTGCCGCGCTACGCTACGCTACTGCACGTGCACTACTAGACGCGCAGATGCAGACACAGATTAACTCCCCGTAGAGCCTTAACAGGCCTGCTGGGGCAAGTGCTGTCGGCGATGGCTCGTGAAGGGCCGAACACGGCCCCAGTGCCTTGTGCAGACATCGCCACTGGGGAGACAAAGGTGGCCGGGCAGTGGCGTTGGAGGCAGCTGCAGCTGCCCGTGCTGTTCTTCACAGGTGCTGCTCGTGAACTGCACTTGCCCCAAGAGCCTGCCCAGGCTATACGGGGGATCTTTATTTTTTGTGTTTCTGTGTTTCTGTGTGTGTGTGTGTGTATGTGGGGAGCGGTAGTGTAGTGGTTAGCGCTACGAACCCCGCGACCCGGTGACGATTATCTGAACCGGTCCCGGGCCCTCCCCTAGGTCGACTCAGCTTCAAATGAGCACCCTGGTGCGGTGTGTAGTAGTAAACATCGCTACCACTGGGGAGACAAAGGCGGCCGGGCGTGGTGCTGGCCATCCCACCGCCTCGTGTGCCGTTGCCGGCCTTCACGGGTGCTGCTCGCTAACAGCACTTGCCCCTGCAGTCTGTTACAGGCTACACGGGTGGTGGGGGAGTGGGGGTGTCTTTGTCTTCGTGTTTATCTACGTATCTAAATATATAACGGTGTACACCTGCGTGTGTGTGCGTGTGTGTTGTAGGCTGTAGGGCTCTGTGCAAGCAAGTGTTCCTCAGGCATCTGGGTCTGCATCCCGTGTGCTGTGAGTACTGCTCCCAGCGCTGTCCCCGCTCGCCGGCCCTGTCGCTCGCCCTGCCCGGCTCTCACCGCGTCTACTTCTGCAGCCAGGCGTGCATGACCAAGTTCAACACCTGGCACTTGCAGGTACACCCCCCGCCTCCCTCCTCCCTCCTCCCTCCTCCCTCCTCCCCCCGCGTAGCCAGGCTGCAGGGGCCAAGCGCTGTGGGTAGCGGCAGCGGCAGCGGCTATCAAGGCCGGCACCACGGCGCCCAGCCCGGCCGCCTTTGTCTCCCCCAGTGCTAGCGATGTTACTGCACCTTGTGCTCGTTTGAGGCTGAGTCGACCCTGGGGGGGAGCAGGCCCAGGTACGGTTCAGATAATCGCTACCACTGGTGTTGGTCGTGAGCGGGAATCGCAGCTCGGTACGCCAGGCACTCAGTGCACTAACCGCTGCACTACCGCACAAAGACAAAGATGCCCCCGTGTAGCCTTAACAGACTGTAGGGGCAAGTGCTGTTAGCGAGCACCTATGAAGGCCGGTAACGGTACACGAGGGGGTGGGTGGCCAGCACCACGCCCGACCGCCTTTGTCTCCCTAGTGGCAATGTTTACTACACACCGCACCAGGTACTCATTTGAGGCTGAGTCGACCTAGTGGAGGCCCAGGACCGGTTCAGATAGTCGTCACTGGTGTTGGCCGTAAATTGGGAATCGAACCCGGGTCGCCAGGTTCATAGCACAGCGTAGCGCTAACCGCTACACTATCGCTCCCCACGCACACACGGACACACACAACAACAACAACCGCCATTCGCCACTAAGTGGCGGTGACGTCACCACGACGCTTGTGCCAGGACACACACACACAGACACACACACACAGACACACACAGACACACACACAGACACACACACAGACACACACATACACAACAAACTATGGGTCCCTGTGTGATGAGTCTATGGGTCTCTCCCCGTGTCTCCATCCCCGTGTCTCTCTCCCCGTGTCTCTCTCCCTGTGTCTCTCTTGCTATGTCTCACTCTCTCCGTGTCTCTCTCTCTCCCACGTGTAGGTATCTCGTTGCGACGGCTGTGAGCGCCAGGGCCGTCTGGAAGAGTCTCTCGTGTGGAGGGGACAGCGGAGACATTTCTGCGACAAGAACTGCCTCCTCCTCTTCTACAGCCACCAGAGGGCGCCTCACATGGACACCCAACCTGGCACGGAGACCACCGGTGAGACACGGGGGGAGAGAGACACGGGGAGAGAGAGACACAGGGAGAGAGAGACACGGGGAGAGAGAGACACGGGGAGAGAGAGACACGGGGAGAGAGAGACACGGGGAGAGAGAGACACGGGGAGAGAGAGACACGGGGAGAGAGAGACACGGGGAGAGAGACACGGGGAGAGAGAGACACGGGGAGAGAGAGACACGGGGAGAGAGAGACACGGGGAGAGAGAGACACGGGGAGAGAGAGACACGGGGAGAGAGAGACACGGGGAGAGAGAGACACGGGTAGAGAGAGACACGGGGAGAGAGAGACACGGGGAGAGAGAGACACGGGGAGAGAGAGACACGGGGAGTGAGACACGGGGGGAGAGAGACACGGGGAGAGAGAGACACGGGGAGAGAGAGACACGGGGAGAGAGAGACACGGGGAGAGAGAGACACGGGGAGAGAGAGACACGGGGGGAGAGAGACACGGGGAGAGTGAGACACGGGGAGAGAGAGACACGGGGAGAGAGAGACACGGGGAGAGAGAGACACGGGGAGAGAGAGACACGGGGAGAGAGAGACACGGTGAGAGAGAGACACGGGGAGAGAGAGACACGGGGAGAGAGAGACACGGGGAGAGAGAGACACGGGGAGAGAGAGACACGGGGAGAGAGAGACACGGAGAGAGAGAGACACGGGGAGAGAGAGACACGGGGAGAGAGAGACACGGTGAGAGAGAGACACGGGGAGAGAGAGACACGGTGAGAGAGAGACACGGGGCGAGAGAGACACGGGGAGAGAGAGACACGGGGAGAGAGAGACACGGGGAGAGAGAGACACGGGGAGAGAGAGACACGGTGAGAGAGAGAGACACGGGGAGAGAGAGACACGGGGAGAGAGAGACACGGGGAGAGAGAGACACGGGGAGAGAGAGACACGGGGAGAGAGAGACACGGGGAGAGAGAGACACGGTGAGAGAGAGACACGGTGAGAGAGAGACACGGTGAGAGAGAGACACGGTGAGAGAGAGACACGGGGCGAGAGAGACACGGGGAGAGAGAGACACGGGGACACGGGGAGAGAGACACGGGGAGAGAGAGAGAGACACGGTGAGAGAGAGACACGGTGAGAGAGAGACACGGGGAGAGAGAGACACGGGGAGAGAGAGACACGGGGAGAGAGACACGGAGAGAGAGAGAGAGAGACACGGGGAGAGAGAGAGACACGGGGGGAGAGAGACACGGGGAGAGAGAGACACGGGCTGAGAGAGACACGGGGAGAGAGAGACACGGGGAGAGAGAGACACGGGGAGAGAGAGACACGGGGAGAGAGAGACACGGGGACACGGGGAGAGAGACACGGGGAGAGAGAGAGAGACACGGGGTGAGAGAGAGACACGGGGAGAGAGAGACACGGGGAGAGAGAGACACGGTGAGAGAGAGACACGGGGGGAGAGAGACACGGGGAGAGAGAGACACGGTGAGAGAGAGACACGGGGAGAGAGAGACACGGGGAGAGAGAGACACGGGGAGAGAGAGACACGGGGAGAGAGAGACACGGGGAGAGAGAGACACAGGGAGAGAGAGACACGGGGAGAGAGAGACACGGGGAGAGAGTGAGACACGGGGGGAGAGAGACACGGGGAGAGAGAGACACGGGGAGAGAGAGACACGGTGAGAGAGACACGGGGAGAGAGAGACACGGGGAGAGAGAGACACGGTGAGAGAGAGACACGGGGAGAGAGAGACACGGGGAGAGAGAGACACGGGGAGAGAGAGACACGGGGAGAGAGAGACACGGGGACACGGGGAGACAGATACACGGGGAGAGAGAGAGACACAGGGAGAGAGACACGGGGAGAGAGAGACACGGGGAGAGAGACATTCAGGGAGAGAGACATTCAGGGAGAGAGAGACATGGGGAACATTATGCTGATGCTCCTGATGATGATGATCCTGCTAATGATGATGTGGATGATTTTGATCCTGCTGATGCCGCTTCGGATGATGATGCTAATAATGATGATGATGCTGCTTCTGATGATGATGCTAATAATGCTGATGGTGGTGATGATGGAGATGATGATGATGATGGTGGTGATGGTGATGATGATGGTGGTGATGTTGATGATGATGGTGGTGATTGTGATGATGATGGTGGTGATGGTGATGGTAGTGATGATGGTGATTATGGTGATGTTTTTTGTCAGTCTCCATGGAGACGGTGCCCATCATAGCGATCGTGGTCTCCCTGGTGATAATGGTGATGATGATGGTGATGATGATGATGATGTTGATGATGGTGATGATGATGGTGATGATGATGATGGTGGTGATGGTGATGATGATGGTGGTGATGGTGATGTTTATTTGTCAGTCTCCGTTGAGACCGTGCCCATCATAGCGAGCGTGGTCTCGCTGGCGATGATGGTGATGATGTTGATGATGATGGTGGTGATGGTGGTGGTAGTGATGATGGTAGTGATGGTGATGATGGTGGTGGTGGTAGTGATGATGGTAGTGATGGTGATGTTTATTTGTCAGTCTCCGTTGAGACCGTGCCCATCATAGCGAGCGTGGTCTCGCTGGCGATGGTGATGATGGTGATGATGGTGATGATGGTGGTGATGATGTTGATGATGGTGGTGATGATGGTGATGATGATGGTGATGTTTATTTGTCAGTCTCCGTTGAGACCGTGCCCATCATAGCGAGCGTGGTCTCCCTGGCAATGGTGATGATGGTGATGATGGTGGTGATGATGTTGATGATGGTGGTGATGATGGTGATGATGATGGTGATGTTTATTTGTCAGTCTCCGTTGAGACCGTGCCCATCATAGCGAGCGTGGTCTCGCTGGCGATGATGGTGATGATGTTGATGATGGTGATGGTGGTGGTAGTGATGATGGTAGTGATGGTGATGATGGTAGTGATGATGGTGGTGATAGTAGTGATGATGGTAGTGATGGTGATGATGATGGTGATGTTTATTTGTCAGTCTCCGTTGAGACCGTGCCCATCATAGCGAGCGTGGTCTCGCTGGCGATGGTGATGATGGTGGTGATGATGGTGGTGATAGTAGTGATGATGGTGGTGGTAGTGATGATGGTAGTGATGGTGATGTTTATTTGTCAGTCTCCGTTGAGACCGTGCCCATCATAGCGAGCGTGGTCTCGCTGGCGACGGTGCCGATGAAGCCGCAGCCACGACCACCCTCATCACCCCCCGGTGAGGAGACGGAAAAATACCACGGAGAGAGAGATCTATAGATATCGATCTATAAATATAGATCTATAGACATCGATCTATATACATCGATCTATAGACATCGATCTATAGATATCGATCTATAGACATCGATCTATAGATATCGATCTATAGATATCGATCTATAGTTATCGATATTTGTAAATAGATTTATATAGAGAGTCGAGGCCGACCGAATCTAAATTTTTGGTTTCGGCTGAGACTGCCACTTCTTTAAATTTTTCTTGCTGTGGTTTTCACACCTGATGATGATTGCTCATCACCTGATGATGATTGCTCATCACCTGATGATGATTGCTCATCACCTGATGATGATTGCTCATCACCTGATGATGATTGCTGCTTGGTGTTGCAGTTGAAACGTAGTGAGAATTTAATTTTTTATATTTTTATTATTTTATTGTTTCCCTTCTACGTGGTGGTGACTTTACCGAAAGAACTCAAGAATATGAATCCCTGCAGTCACGAAAGCTTTAAATCAAACCGAAGCCGAAAGTTAAATATGTCACGATGCAATGCTACTTTAATAAAAAATATAATGAAATCTAGAACGAATCATTCAGAGCCTGCAGTAAGAGTCGCTAACTGTCAAATCTTTAGGTTACTTACTTAGTAATTATAGCCAAACGAACGAATGTTGTTGGCCTCTAATAGATCTATCTCTATAGAGATCTATATAGAGAGATCTATATATAGAGATGTATATATAGATATCTATATATACAGTGAGGGAAAAAAGTATTTTATCCCCTGCTGATTTTGTACGTTTGCCCACTGACAAAGAAATGATCAGTCTATAATTTTGATGGTAGGTTTATTTGAACAGTGAGAGACAGAATAACAACAAGAAAATCCAGAAAAACGCATGTCAAAAATTATATAAATTGATTTGCATTTTAATGAGGGAAATAAGTATTTGACCCCCTCTCAATCAGAAAGATTTCTGGCTCCCAGGTGTCTTTTATACAGGTAATGAGTTGAGATTAGGAGCACACTCTTAATGGGAGTGCTCCTAATCTCAGCTTGTTACCTGTATAAAAGACACCTGTCCACAAGCAATCAATCAATCAGATTCCAAACTCTCCACCATGGCCAAGACCAAAGACCTCTCCAAGGATGTCAGGGGACAAGATTGTAGATCTACACAAGGCTGGAATGGGCTACAAGACCATTGCCAAGCAGCTTGGTGAGAAGGTGACAACAGTTGGTGCGATTATTCGCAAATGGAAGAAACACAAAAGAACTGTCAATCTCCCTCGGCCTTGGGCTCCATGCAAGATCTCACCTCGTGGAGTTGCAATGATCATGAGAACGGTGAGGAATCAGCCCAGAACTACACGGGAGGACCTTGTCAATGATCTCAAGGCAGCTGGGACCATAGTCACCAAGAAAACAATTGGTAACACACTACGCCGTGAAGGACTGAAATCCTGCAGTGCCCGTAAGATGCCCCTGCTCAAGAAAGCACATATACATGCCCGTCTGAAGTTGGCCAATGAACATCTGAATGATTGAGAGGACAACTGTGTGAAAGTGTTGTGGTCAGATGAGACCAAAATGGAGCTAATCATTTCTTTGTCAGTGGGCAAACGTACACAATCAGCAGGGGATCAAATGCTTTTTTTCCCTCACTGTATAGAGATCTATATATAGAGATCTATATATAGAGACATCTATATATAGAGATATATATCTATAGAGATTCATATATGGAGATTTATATATAGAGATCTACATATAGAGATCTATAGAGATAGATAGGGAGATATGGAGAGAGACAGATGGAGAGAGGGAGAGAGGGTTGATGGAGAGAGATGGAAAGGGAGACACAGCACTGAGGAGGCAGCAATGACCTTTGTCTCTTTGTCTTTGTGTCTGTGTGTCTGTGTGTATCTGTCTGTGTGTCTGTGTGTGTGTGTCTGTGTGTGTGTCTGTGTGTCTGTCTGTGTGTCTGTCTGTGTGTCTCTGTGTCTGTGTGTGTCTGTGTGCGTGTCTGTCTGTGCGTCTGTGCGTCTGTGTGTGTGTCTGTGTCTGTGTGTGTGTGTATGTGTGTGTGTGTCTGTGTCTCTGTGTGTGTGTGTCTGTGTGTGTCTGTGTGTGTGTGTGTCTGGGTGTGTCTGTGTGTGTGTGTCTGTGTGTCTGTTTGTGTGTCTGTGTGTCTGTGTGTCTGTGTGTGTGTCTGTTTGTGTGTCTGTGTGTCTGTGTCTGAGCAGCTCTGCACACGAAAAGAAGCGTCAATACAAACGACGTGAGTGAACAGCCCGCAGCACTCACACACTCACACACTCACTAACACACTCACTTACACACTCACTTACACACTCACTTACACACTCACTTACACACTCACTTACACACTCACTAACACACTCAAATAAACATTCACACACGACAACCGCCATTTCCCCCACCAAGTGGCCGTGACGTCACCGTGGCGCCCGTGCCAGGCTAGGTGCACATTCTCGGGCAAGATGTTTGGTGCTGGGATGGCCTCACACGTTGGCTTATTTGTGCGGCTGGCACGCTCCACACTCTCCACACTCTCCACACTCTCCACACTCTCCACACGCTCCACACTCTCCACACTCTCCACACTCTCCACACTCTCCACACTCTCCACACTCTCCACGCTCTCCACACTCTCCACACTCTACACACTCTCCACACTCTCCACATGCTCCACACTCTCCACACTCTCCACACGCTCCACACTCTCTACACTCTCTACACTCTCCACACTCTCCACACTCTCCACACTCTCCACACTCTCCACACTCTCCACACTCTCCACACTCTCTACACTCTCCACACTCTCCACACTCTCCACATGCTCCACGCTCTCCACGCTCTCCACACTCTCCACGCGCTCCCCACGCTCTCCACACGCTCCACACTCTCCACACTCTCCACACGCTCCACACGCTCCACACTCTCCACACTCTCCACACTCTCCACACTCTCCACACTCTCCACGCTCTCCACACTCTCCACGCGCTCCCCACGCTCTCCACACTCTCCACGCTCTCCACGCTCTCCACTCTCTCCACACGCTCAACACTCTCCACACTCTCCACGCGCTCCACGCTCTCCACGCTCTCCACGCTCTCCACTCTCTCCACACTCTCCACACTCTCCACACTCTCCACGCTCCCCACTCTCCACGCTCTCCACACTCTCCACGCTCTCCACGCTCTCCACGCTCTCCACTCTCTCCACACGCTCTCCACTCTCTCCACACTCTCCACACGCTCTCCACACTCTCCACTCTCCACACTCTCCACACGCTCCACGCTCTCCACGCTCTCCACGCTCTCCACGCTCTCCACTCTCTCCACACTCTCCACACTCTCCACACTCTCCACACGCTCCACACGCTCCACGCTCTCCACGCTCTCCACACGCTCCACACGCTCCACACTCTCTACACTCTCCACACTCTCCACACTCTCCACACGCTCCACACTCTCCACACTCTCCACACTCTCCACGCTCTCCACACTCTCCACACGCTCCACACGCTCCACTCTCTCCACGCTCTCCACGCTCTCCACACGCTCCACACACTCCACTCTCTCCACGCTCTCCACGCTCTCCACACTCTCCACACTCTCCATACTCTCCACGCTCTCCACACTCTCCACGCTCTCCACACGCTCCACACTCTCCACTCTCTCCATGCTCTCCACATTCTCCACCCTCTCCACACTCTCCATACTCTCCACGCTCTCCACGCTCTCCACACGCTCCACACTCTCCACACGCTCCACACTCTCCACTCTCTCCACGCTCTCCACATTCTCCACCCTCTCCACACTCTCCACTCTCTCCACACTCTCCACGCGCTCTCCACGCTCTCCACACTCTCCACACTCTCCACACTCTCCACAAGCTCCACACTCTCCACGCTCTCCACGCTTTCCACGCTCTCCACGCTCTCCACGCTCTCCACGCTCTCCACGCTCTCCACACTCTCCACTCTCTCCACTCTCTCCACACTCTCCACGCTCTCCACACTCTCCACACTCTCCACACGCTCCACACTCTCCACGCTCTCCACGCTCTCCACATTCTCCACACTCTCCACACTCTCCACACTCTCCACACGCTCCACACTCTCCACACGCTCCACACTCTCCACTCTCTCCACGCTCTCCACATTCTCCACCCTCTCCACACTCTCCACTCTCTCCACACTCTCCACATTCTCCACCCTCTCCACACTCTCCACGCTCTCCACACGCTCCACACTCTCCACACTCTCCACACTCTCCACACTCTCCACACTCTCCACGCTCTCCACACGCTCCACACTCTCCACTCTCTCCACGCTCTCCACATGCTCCACACTCTCCACACTCTCCACACGCTCCCCACGCTCCCCACACTCTCCACGCTCTCCACGCTCTCCACACTCTCCACACTCTCCATGCTCTCCACACTCTCCACACTCTCCACGCTCTCCACGCGCTCCACACGCTCCACACTCTCCACGCTCTCCACACTCTCCACGCTCTCCACACGCTCCACACTCTCCACACTCTCCACACGCTCCACACTCTCCACACTCTCCACACTCTCCACACTCTCCACGCTCTCCACACTCTCCACGCTCTCCACACTCTCCACGCTCTCCACACTCTCCACGCTCTCCACACGCTCCACTCTCTCCACGCTCCCCACACTCTCCACACTCTCCACACTCTCCACACTCTCCACACTCTCCACGCTCTCCACACGCTCCACGCTCTCCACACTCTCCACACTCTCCACACTCTCCACATGCTCCACACTCTCCACACTCTCCACACGCTCCCCACGCTCCCCACACTCTCCACGCTCTTCACGCTCTCCACACGCTCCACACTCTCCACACTCTCCACACGCTCCCCACGCTCCCCACACTCTCCACGCTCTCCACACTCTCCACACGCTCCACGCTCTCCACGCTCTCCACACTCTCCACGCTCTCCACACTCTCCACACTCTCCACGCTCTCCACACGCTCCACGCGCTCCACACTCTCCATGCTCTCCACGCTCTCCACTCTCTCGACACTCTCCACACGCTCCACACTCTCCACACTCTCCACACTCTCCACACTCTCCACACTCTCCACGCTCTCCACGCTCTCCACGCTCCCCACGCTCTCCACACTCTCCACACTCTCCACACTCTCCACACTCTCCACGCTCTCCACACTCTCCACACTCTCCACGCTCTCCACACTCTCCACACTCTCCACACGCTCCACACTCTCCACACGCTCCACGCTCTCCACACTCTCCACACTCTCCACACGCTCCACACTCTCCACACTCTCCACGCTCTCCACGCTCTCCCACGCTCTCCACACTCTCCACACTCTCCACACTCTCCACAACTCTCCACTCTCTCCACGCTTCTCCACACTCTCCACACTCTCCACACTCTCCACACTCTCCACACGCTCCACACTCTCCACACTCTCCACACTCTCCACGCTCTCCACACTCTCCACACGCTCCACGCTCTCCACACTCTCCACACTCTCCACACTCTCCACACTCTCCACGCTCTCCACACTCTCCACACGCTCCACGATCTCCACACTCTCCACACTCTCCACACTCTCCACGCTCTCCACGCTCTCCACACTCTCCACACGCTCCACGCTCTCCACACGCTCCACACTCTCCACGCTCTCCACACTCTCCACACTCTCCACACTCTCCACGCTCTCCACGCTCTCCACACTCTCCACCCGCTCCACACTCTCCACACTCTCACACTCTCCACACGCTCCACTCTCTCCACGCTCCCCACACTCTCCACGCTCTCCACGCTCTCCACACTCTCCACGCTCTCCACACTCTCCACGCTCTCCACGCGCTCCACGCGCTCCACACTCTCCACACTCTCCACGCTCTCCACACTCTCCACACTCTCCACACTCTCCACACTCTCCACACTCTCCACACGCTCTCCACACTCTCCACACGCTCCACGCTCTCCACACTCTCCACACTCTCCACACTCTCCACACTCTCCACGCTCTCTACACTCTCCACACTCTCCACATGCTCCACACGCTCAATACTCTCCACACTCTCCACACTCTCCACGCTCTCCACACTCTCCACGCTCTCTACACGCTCCACACTCTCCACGCTCTCCACACTCTCCACGCTCTCCACGCTCTCCACACTCTCCACGCTCTCCACACTCTCCACGCTCTCCACGCTCTCCACACTCTCCACCCGCTCCACACTCTCCACACTCTCCACACTCTCCACACTCTCCACACGCTCCACTCTCTCCACGCTCCCCACACTCTCCACGCTCTCCACGCTCCCCACACTCTCCACACTCTCCACACTCTCCACACTCTCCACACGCTCCACTCTCTCCACGCTCCCCACACTCTCCACGCTCTCCACGCTCTCCACACTCTCCACGCTCTCCACCCGCTCCACACTCTCCACACTCTCCACACTCTCCACACTCTCCACACTCTCCACACGCTCCACTCTCTCCACGCTCCCCACACTCTCCACACTCTCCACCCGCTCCACACTCTCCACACTCTCCACACTCTCCACACTCTCCACACGCTCCACTCTCTCCACGCTCCCCACACTCTCCACACTCTCCACGCTCTCCACGCTCTCCACATGCTCCACATGCCCCACACTCTCCACACTCTCCACACTCTCCACACTCTCCACATGCTCCACACTCTCCACACTCTCCACACGCTCCCCACGCTCTCCACACTCTCCACACTCTCCACACTCTCCACATGCTCCACACTCTCCACACTCTCCACACACTCCACGCTCTCCACGCTCTCCACACTCTCCACACTCTCCATGCTCTCCACACTCTCCACACTCTCCACGCTCTCCACGCTCTCCACACTCTCCACACTCTCCATGCTCTCCACACTCTCCACACTCTCCATGCTCTCCACACTCTCCACGCTCTCCACGCGCTCCACACTCTCCACGCTCTCCACACGCTCCACACTCTCCACACTCTCCACACGCTCCACACGCTCTCCACACTCTCCACGCTCCACGCTCTCCACACTCTCCACACTTTCCACACTCTCCACGCTCTCCACACTCTCCACACTCTCCACGCTCTCCACACTCTCCACGCTCTCCACACTCTCCACATGCTCCACTCTCTCCACACTCTCCACACTCTCCACGCTCTCTACACGCTCCACACTCTCCACGCTCTCCACACTCTCCACACTCTCTACACGCTCCACACTCTCCACGCTCTCCACACTCTCCACGCTCTCCACACTCTCCACATGCTCCACTCTCTCCACACTCTCCACACTCTCCACGCTCTCCACGCTCTCCACACGCTCCACACTCTCCACGCTCTCCACACTCTCCACACGCTCCCCACGCTCTCCACGCTCTCACACATCTCCACATGCTCCACACTCTCCACACTCTCCACACTCTCCACACGCTCCACGCATCTCCACACTCTCCACACTCTCCACACTCTCCACGCTCTCCACGCTCTCCACGCTCCCACGCTCTCCACGCTCTCCACGCTCTCCTCACGCTCCACACGCTCCACGCTCTCCACGCTCTCCACGCTCTCCACACTCTCCACACTCTCCACACGCTCCACACTCTCCACGCTCTCCACGCTCTCCACACGCTCCACGCTCTCCACACTCTCCACACTCTCCACACTCTCCACACTCTCCACACGCTCCACCACTCTCCACGCTCTCCACACTCTCCACACTCTCCACGCTCTCCACGCTCTCCACACACTCCACACTCTCCACACTCTCCACGCGCTCCACGCTCTCCACACTCTCCACGCTCTCCACACTCTCCATGCTCTCCACACGCTCCACACTCTCCACACTCTCCACACTCTCCACACTCTCCACACGCTCCACACTCTCCACACGCTCCACACGCTCCACACTCTCCACACTCTCCACACTCTCCACACTCTCCACACTCTCCACGCTCTCCACACTCTCCACGCCCTCCACACTCTCCACACTCTCCACACTCTCCACACTCTCCACCCGCTCCACACTCTCCACACACTCCACACTCTCTACTCTCTCCACGCTCTCCACACTCTCCACACTCTCCACACTCTCCACGCTCTCCACACGCTCCACACTCTCTACTCTCTCCACGCTCTCCACACTCTCCACACTCTCCACCCGCTCCACACTCTCCACACACTCCACACTCTCTACTCTCTCCACGCTCTCCACACTCTCCACGCCCTCCACACTCTCCACACTCTCCACACTCTCCACGCTCTCCACACGCTCCACACTCTCTACTCTCTCCACGCTCTCCACACTCTCCACACTCTCCACGCTCTCCACGCTCTCCACACTCTCCACACTCTCCACACTCTCCACGCTCTCCACGCTCTCCACACTCTCCACACGCTCCACACTCTCCACGCTCTTCACGCTCTCCACACGCTCCACACTCTCCACACGCTCCACACTCTCCACGCTCTCCACGCTCTCCACGCTCTCCACACTCTCCACGCTCTCCACACTCTCCACACGCTCCAGACTCTCCACACTCTCCACACGCTCCACACTCTCCACACTCTCCACGCTCTCCACACTCTCCACACGCTCCACACTCTCCACACTCTCCACACTCTCCACACTCTCCACATGCTCCACACTCTCCACACTCTCCACACTCTCCACACGCTCCCCACGCTCCCCACACTCTCCACGCTCTCCACACTCTCCACATGCTCCACACTCTCCACGCTCTCCACGCTCTCCACGCTCTCCACACTCTCCACACTCTCCACGCTCTCCACACTCTCCACGCTCCCCACACTCTCCACGCTCTCCACACTCTCCACACTCTCCACACTCTCCACACGCTCCCCACGCTCCCCACACTCTCCACGCTCTCCACACTCTCCACATGCTCCACACTCTCCACACTCTCCACGCTCTCCACACTCTCCACACTCTCCACACTCTCCACACTCTCCACACGCTCCACACTCTCCACACTCTCCACGCTCTCCACACTCTCCACACGCTCCACGCTCTCCACACTCTCCACACTCTCCACACTCTCCACATGCTCCACACTCTCCACACTCTCCACACGCTCCCCACGCTCCCCACACTCTCCACGCTCTCCACACTCTCCACATGCTCCACACTCTCCACGCTCTCCACACTCTCCACGCTCTCCACACTCTCCACACTCTCCACGCTCTCCACACTCTCCACACTCTCCACGCTCTCCACGCTCTCCACGCTCTCCACACTCTCCACGCTCTCCACACTCTCCACGCTCTCCACGCTCTCCACACGCTCCACGCTCTCCACACGCTCCACGCTCTCCACGCTCTCCACGCTCTCCACGCTCTCCACACTCTCCACACTCTCCACGCTCTCCACACTCTCTACACGCTCCACACTCTCCACACTCTCCACACTCTCCACACTGTCCACACTCTCTACGCTCTCCACGCTCTCCACACTCTCCACACGCTCCACACTCTCTACGCTCTCCACACTCTCCACACTCTCCACACTCTCCACGCTCTCCACGCTCTCCACTCTCTCCACGCTCTCCACACTCTCCACACTCTCCACGCTCTCCACGCTCTCCACGCTCTCCACACGCTCCACACTCTCCACACTCTCCACTCTCTCCACGCTCTCCACGCTCTCCACGCTCTCCACGCTCTCCACGCTCTCCACGCTCTCCACGCTCTCCACGCTCTCCACGCTCTCCACGCTCTCCACGCGCTCAATCACCGTCGCCAACTCCCTCCCGGAAGCGAGCAGCTCTTAGCAGATGTACTGCAGTCACAATATTTGTATTTTTTTTTTTATTTTCACCAGGGTGTAAGTCCCCCACTGAGCTGCTATTTAGCACTCTATTCAGAAGCGACCCCGGCCAAGCGCAAACGATCGCTCAACGAAGTGGGCCCAGCCATCGCGTGGAAGTTTCTAGCAGCAGCCAACTGCTCCAAACGCGTGGTGGTGACGTTGATTCCACACGTGGAGGGCAAAACCCGAGGACCTGGAGAAAAATCCACGCGGCCACGAGGAGAGAGACACAGACTCCAAATATACAGCAGCAGCAGCAGGCGTCTGGGTCGGGATTGAACCCACGACCTCCTGCGTACCAGGCGAGGTGGCTAACATCTCATAGCCACTGTGGCGTCAGGGATGATGACTGTGTGCGTGCCTCTCTTCCCCGTGTCTCTCTTCCCCGTGTCTCCGTGTCTCTCTCCCCGTGTCTCCCTGACTCTCTCCCCGTGTCTCTCTCCCCGTGTCTCTCTCCCCGTGTCTCCGTGTCTCTCTCCCCGTGTCCGTGTCTCTCTCCCCGTGTCTCTCTCCCCGTGTCTCTCTCCCCGTGTCTCTGTATCTCTCTCCCCGTGTCTCTGTGTCTCTCTCCCCATGTCTCTGTGTCTCTCTCCCCGTGTCTCCGTGTCTCTCTCCCCGTGTCTCTCTCCCCGTGTCTCTGTGTCTCTCTCCCCGTGTCTCCGTGTCTCTCTCCCCGTGTCTCTCTCCCCGTGTCTCTCTCCCCGTGTCTCTGTATCTCTCTCCCCGTGTCTCTGTGTCTCTCTCTCCGTGTCTCTGTGTCTCTCTCCCCGTGTCTCTGTGTCTCTCTCCCCGTGTCTCTGTGTCTCTCTCCCCGTGTCTCTCTCCCTGTGTCTCTCTCCCCGTGTCTCTGTGTCTCTCTCCCCGTACGTGTCTCTTTCCGTGTAGGTGTCTGTGCAGACCCCGCCGAGTGCCCCCGCCTGCGTGATGAGGAACAAGGCGGTCCTCTGCCGCCCGCTCAACAAAACCAAAGCCACTCAGTGCCGTCCGGTGTGTGCACACACGGAGACGCAGACCGGTGAGACACAGGGAGACACGCGGGGAGACACACGGGGAGACACACGGGGAGACACACGGGGAGACACACGGGGAGACACACGGGGAGACACGCGGGGAGACACGCGGGGAGACACACGGGGAGACACACGGGGAGACACGGGGAGACGGGGACACGCGGGGACACGCGGGGAGACACGCGGGGAGACACACGGGGAGACACGGGGATACAGAGACACACACGGGGAGACACACGGGGAGACACGGGGAGACACGGGGATACAGAGACACACACGGGGAGACACACGGGGACACGCGGGGAGACACGGGGATACAGAGACACACACGGGGTCACATTGGGTCACATGGGGTCACATTGGGTCACATGGGGACACACGGGGTCACATGGGGACACACGGGGTCACATGAGGACACACAGAGACAGGGAGACACAGGGTGTGCTCACACGGAAGAGACAGGAGACACAGGGGGAGAGAGAGAGACATGCAGACAGAGGAGGAGGATGATGGAGTCACGTGCTCCTGTCTCATTTTGTCTTTTTGGCTGTCTCTCACCCCGTGTCTCTCTATCCCCGTGTCTTTCTCTCTCTCCCCGTGTCTCTCTCTCCCTGTGTCTCTCTCACCCCGTGTCTCTCTCTCCCCGTGTCTCTCTCACCCCGTGTCTCTCTTTCCCCGTGTCTCTCTCTCTCCCCGTGTCTCTCTCTCACCCCGTGTCTCTCTCTCCCCGTGTCTCTCTCTCCCCGTGTCACTCTCTCCCCGTGTCTCTCTCTCCCTCTCCCCGTGTCTCTCTCTCCCTCTCCCCATGTCTCTCTCTCCCCGTGTCTCTCTCTCCCCGTGTCTCTCTCTCCCCGTGTCTCTCTCTCCCCGTGTCTCTCTCTCCCCGTGTCTCTCTCTCCCCGTGTCTCTCTCTCCCCGTGTCTCTCTCTCCCCGCGTCTCTCTCTCCCCGTCTCTCTCTCCCCGTCTCTCTCTCCCCGTGTCTCTCTCTCACCGTGTCTCTCTCTCCCCTTGTCTCTCTCTCCCCGTGTCTCTCTCTCCCCGTGTCTCTCTCTCCCCGTGTCTCTCTCTCCCCGTCTCTCTCTCACCCCGTGTCTCTCTCACCCCGTGTCTCTCTCTCCCCGTGTCTCTCTCTCTCCCCGTGTCTCTCTCACCCCGTGTCTCTCTCTCCCCGTGTGTCTCTCTCTCCCCGTGTCTCTCTCTCACCCCGTGTCTCTTTCTCCCCGTGTGTCTCTCTCTCTCTCTCCCTGTGTCTCTCTCTCCCTCTCCCCATGTCTCTCTCTCCCCGTGTCTCTCTCTCCCCGTGTCTCTCTCTCCCCCCATGTCTCTCTCTCCCCGTGTCTCTCTCTCCCCGTGTCTCTCTCTCCCCGTGTCTCTCTCTCCCCGTGTCTCTCTCTCCCCGTGTCTCTCTCTCCCCGTGTCTCTCTCTCCCCGTGTCTCTCTCTCCCCGTGTCTCTCTCTCCCCGTGTCTCTCTCTCCCCGTGTCTCTCTCTCCCCATCTCTATCTCCCCGTCTCTCTCTCCCCGTGTCTCTCTCTCACCGTGTCTCTCTCTCCCCGTGTCTCTCTCTCCCCGTGTCTCTCTCCCCGTCTCTCTCTCTCCCCGTGTCTCTCTCACCCCGTGTCTCTCTCTCTCCCCGTGTCTCTCACCCCGTGTCTCTCTCTCACCGTGTCTCTCTCTCTCCCCGTGTCTCTCTCTCACCCCGTGTCTCTCTCTCCCCGTGTCTCTCTCTCTCTCTCTCTCCCTGTGTCTCTCTCTCTCTCTCCCCCTGTCTCTCTCTCCCCGTGTCTCTCTCTCCCCGTGTCTCTCTCTCCCCCCGTGTCTCTCTCTCCCCGTGTCTCTCTCTCCCCGTGTCTCTCTCTCCCCGTGTCTCTCTCTCCCCGTGTCTCTCTCTCCCCGTGTCTCTCTCTCCCCGTGTCTCTCTCTCCCCGTGTCTCTCTCTCCCCGTGTCTCTCTCTCCCCGCGTCTCTCTCTCTCCCCGTGTCTCTCTCTCCCCGTGTCTCTCTCTCCCCGTGTGTCTCTCTCTCCCCGTGTCTCTCTCTCACCCCGTGTCTCTCTCTCCCCGTGTCTCTCTCTCTCTCTCCCCGTGTCTCTCTCTCTCCCCGTGTCTCTCTCTCCCCGTGTCTCTCTCTCCCCGTGTCTCTCTCTCCCCCCGTGTCTCTCTCTCCCCGTGTCTCTCTCTCCCCGTGTCTCTCTCTCCCCGTGTCTCTCTCTCCCCGTGTCTCTCTCTCCCCGTGTCTCTCTCTCCCCGTGTCTCTCATCTCCCCGTGTCTCTCTCTCCCCGCGTCTCTCTCTCTCCCCGTGTGTCTCTCTCCCCGCGTCTCTCTCTCTCCCCGTGTCTCTCTCTCCCCGTGTCTCTCTCTCCCCGTGTGTCTCTCTCTCCCCGTCTCTCTCTCTCTCCCTGTGTCTCTCTCACCCCGTGTCTCTCTCTCTCCCCGTGTCTCTCTCTCTCCCCGTGTCTCTCTCTCTCCCCGTGTCTCTCTCACCCCGTGTGTCTCTCTCTCCCCGTGTCTCTCTCTCACCCCGTGTCTCTTTCTCCCCGTGTCTCTCTCTCTCTCTCCCTGTGTCTCTCTCTCCCTCTCCCCATGTCTCTCTCTCCCCGTGTCGCTCTCTCCCCGTGTCTCTCTCTCCCCCCGTGTCTCTCTCTCCCCGTGTCTCTCTCTCCCCGTGTCTCTCTCTCCCCGTGTCTCTCTCTCCCCATGTCTCTCTCTCCCCGTGTCTCTCTCTCCCCGTGTCTCTCTCTCCCCGTGTCTCTCTCTCCCCGCGTCTCTCTCTCCCCGTGTCTCTCTCTCCCCATCTCTCTCTCCCCGTCTCTCTCTCCCCGTGTCTCTCTCTCACCGTGTCTCTCTCTCCCCGTGTCTCTCTCTCCCCGTGTCTCTCTCTCCCCGTGTCTCTCTCCCCGTGTCTCTCTCTCCCCGTGTCTCTCTCTCAGTGTCTCTCTCTCCCCGTGTGTCTCTCTCCCCGTGTCTCTCTCTCTCCCCGTGTCTCTCTCTCTCCCCGTCTCTCTCTCTCCCCGTGTCTCTCTCTCCCCGTGTCTCTCTCTCCCCGTCTCTCTCTCTCCCCGTGTCTCTCTCTCCCCGTGTCTCTTTCTCTCCCCGTGTGTCTCTCTCTCCCCGTCTCTCTCTCCCCGTCTCTCTCTCCCCGTGTCTCTCTCCCCGTGTGTCTCTCTCTCCCCGTGTCTCTCTCTCCCCGTGTCTCTCTCTCCCCGTCTCTCTCTCTCTCTCCCCGTGTCTCTCTCTCCCCGTGTCTCTCTCTCCCCGTGTCTCTCTCTCCCTGTGTCTCTCTCACCCCGTGTCTCTCTCTCCCCGTGTCTCTCTCTCTCCCCGTGTCTCTCACCCCGTGTCTCTCTCTCCCCGTGTCTCTCTCTCTCCCCGTGTCTCTCTCTCCCCGTGTCTCTCTCTCTCCCCGTGTCTCTCTCTCACCCCGTGTCTCTCTCTCCCCGTGTCTCTCTCTCTCTCCCTGTGTCTCTCTCTCCCTCTCCCCGTGTCTCTCTCTCCCTCTCCCCATGTCTCTCTCTCCCCGTGTCTCTCTCTCCCCGTGTCTCTCTCTCCCCCCGTGTCTCTCTCTCCCCGTGTCTCTCTCTCCCCGTGTCTCTCTCTCCCCGTGTCTCTCTCTCCCCGTGTCTCTCTCTCCCCGTGTCTCTCTCTCCCCCGCGTCTCTCTCTCCCCGCGTCTCTCTCTCCCCGTGTCTCTCTCTCCCCGTGTCTCTCTCTTCCCGTGTCTCTCTCTCCCCGTGTCTCTCTCTCCCGTGTCTCTCTCTCCCCGTGTCTCTCTCTCTCCCCGTGTCTCTCTCTCCCCGTGTCTCTCTCTCTCCGTGTCTCTCTCTCCCCGTGTCTCTCTCTCCCCGTGTCTCTCTCTCCCCGTGTCTCTCTCTCCCCGTGTCTCTCTCTCCCCGTGTCTCTCTCTCCCCGTGTCTCTCTCCCCGTGTGTCTCTCTCTCCCCGTGTCTCTCTCTCCCCGTGTCTCTCTCTCTCTCCCTGTGTCTCTCTCACCCCGTGTCTCTCTCTCCCGTGTCTCTCTCTCTCCCCGTGTCTCTCACCCCGTGTCTCTCTCTCCCCGTGTCTCTCTCTCTCCCCGTGTCTCTCTCTCACCCCGTGTCTCTCTCTCCCCGTGTCTCTCTCTCTCTCTCCCTGTGTCTCTCTCTCCCTCTCCCCATGTCTCTCTCTCCCCGTGTCTCTCTCTCCCCGTGTCTCTCTCTCCCCCCGTGTCTCTCTCTCCCCGTGTCTCTCTCTCCCCGTGTCTCTCTCTCCCCGTGTCTCTCTCTCCCCGTGTCTCTCTCTCCCCGTGTCTCTCTCTCCCCGTGTCTCTCTCTCCCCGTGTCTCTCTCTCCCCGTGTCTCTCTCTCCCCGCGTCTCTCTCTCCCGTGTCTCTCTCTCCCCGTGTCTCTCTCTCCCCGTGTCTCTCTCTCCCCGTGTCTCTCCCTCCCCGTGTCTCTCTCTCCCCGTGTCTCTCTCCCCGTGTCTCTCCCCGTGTGTAGAGAGCGCACGGTGCTGCTGTGGTGGAGGCTTCCCCGTGCCGGTGCCGGTCCCGGTGTTTGTGCCGATCCCCGTGCCCGGCCTCTCCCAGGGCCCCCTCCTCCCCCTCTTCATCCCGGTGCCCGTGAGTACAGTACAACACCACCGGTACAGTACAACACCACCGGAACAGTACAACACCACCGGTACAGTACAACACCACCGGTACAGTACAACACCACCGGTACAGTACAACACCACCGGTACAGTACAACACTACAGGAACAGTACAACACCACCGGTACAGTACAACACCATCGGTACAACACTACCGGAACAGTACAGCACCGCCGGTACAGTACAACACCACCGGTACAGTACAACACCACCGGTACAGTACAACACCACTGGTACAGTACAACACTACCGGAACAGTATAACACCACCGGTACAGTACAACACCACCGGTACAGTACAACACCGCCGGTACAGTACAACACCGCCAGTACAGTGCAACGCTCACACACAACACACACACAACACTCACACACACAACACTCACACACACAACACTCACAGATACACACACAACACTCACACATACACACAACATTCACACACACAACATTCACACACACAACACTCACACACACAACACTCACACACACAACACTCACACCTCACACACACAACACTCACACACACACAACACTTACACACACACAACACTCACACACACACACAACACTCACACACACACACAACACTCACACACACACACAACACTCACACACACACACAACACTCACACACACAACACTCACACACACAACACTCACACACACAACACTTACACACACACAACACTTACAGATACACACACAACACTCACACACACACAACACTTACACACACACACAACACTTACAGATACACACACAACACTCACACACAACACTCACACACACAACACTCACACACACAACACTCACACACACAATACTCACAGATACACACACAACACTCACAGATACACACACAACACTCACACACACAACACACACACACAACACTCACACACAACACTCACACTCACACACACACAACGCACACACACACAACGCTCACACACACACAACGCTCACACACACAACGCTCACACACACACAACGCACACACACACACAACACTCACACACACACACACAACGCTCACACACACACACACAACGCTCACACACACAACGCTCACACACACACAACGCACACACACACACACAACGCACACACACACACAACACTCACACACACAACGTTAACACAACGCACACACACAAAACACTCACACACACAACGCTCACACACACAACGCACACACACACACAACGCGCACACACACACACACAACGCACACACACACACAACACTCACACACACAACGTTAACACAACGCACACACACAAAACACTCACACACACAACACTCACACACACACCACTCACACACACAACGCTCACACACACAACTCTCACACACACACCACTCACGCAACGCTCACACACACAACGCTCACACACACAATGCTCACACACGCAACGCTCACACACACATAACACACACACAACACACACGCACACAATGCTCACACACACAACACACACGCACACAACACTCACACACACAACACACACGCACACAACGCTCACACACACAACACTCACACACACATACAACACTCACACACACAACACACACGCACACAACGCTCACACACACACAACACTCACCACTGGCTGCACTTGCCCCGCCCCCGGCAGTCTGTTAAAGGCTACGAGGGGGATCTTTGTCTTTGCCCCGCCGTCTGTGGTCTCGAAGATTCCGGTCCCCATACTCATCCCGTCATCGTCATCGCCGTCGTCCATCTGGACGGGAGGAACCAAGCGGAGGAGGGCGGAGATGGAGGAGGTCACCGAATCCTTCGCCGCCGCCGCCGAATTGAGACTCGCGAGGACGGCCGGGCGGAGGCTCACAGCGGAGACTTCCACGCACGGTGAGAGGCGGCCAACTCTTCAGACTGCCAAGCTGCAGGAGAAGTTATCAAAGTCGCTTTCGAAAATATATAGAAACTAAACTTTTTTGTTTTTATCTTACCGGGTAAGAATAACTCACCCCTCTCCAACTCACAAGCGGTGTGCTGTAGTAGTACACTACACTATATACTACACTATACACTAGTGCTGTACTAGTATACTACACTATACACTACACTATACACTAGTGGTGTACTAGTATACTACACTATACACTACACTATACACTACACTATACACTAGTGCTGTACTAGTATACTACACTATATACTACACTATACACTAGTGCTGTACTAGTATACTACACTACACACTACACTATACACTAGTGGTGTACTAGTTTACTACACTATACACTAGTGCTGTACTAGTATACTACACTACACACTACACTATACACTAGTGGTGTACTAGTATACTACACTATACACTAGTGCTGTACTAGTATACTACACTATATACTACACTATACACTACACTATACACTAGTGCTGTACTAGTATACTACACTATATACTACACTATACACTAGTGCTGTACTAGTATACTACACTATATACTACACTATACACTAGTGGTGTACTAGTTTACTACACTATACACTACACTATACACTGGTGCTGTACTAGTATACTACACTATATACTACACTATACACTACACTATACACTGGTGCTGTACTAGTATGCTACACTATATACTACACTATACACTACACTATACACTGGTGCTGTACCAGTACTTGTCGCCCGGCTTCCACTCATGCGTGTGTCTGCTGCGCGCGCCCAGACGTTCGTTCGCCCTCTGGCGAGAGTTTTGAGTTTTGGGCTGCAGCCTCGGCCAATTTCAGACCGTTAAATTTAACGTGGCCAGCCAATTTAGACCTTGCATGAGGCGCGGAAACCCGCAGCTGGGCTTCCACGGGAGGGTCAACGTCCCGCTCGTACATCAGAAAGAAGGGGTAAAACCCAGTTGCCGCGTGGGGGGCCATCCTATAGGCGGCGAGAATTTGAAGATCCCATTCTACTTGCGAGTCGCAGCACTTTGTGAAACGACATGCGCGTGAGCGCCCTGTTGAGCCGCTCCACCCATCCCGTCCGTCTGAGGGTGGTACGGAGAGGTGCGCACCTTTTTTAGTACCCAACAGGTCGCACACCTCGCGCAGCGGGGAGCTCGAGAAATTCTTTCCCCTGGTCGGTCAGCAGCCGTTCCGGAGCACCCTTGTCCAGGACGTGGCCCTGGACGAAGGCCTCGGTAACGGCTGCTGCCGACTGGTTGGCTAGCGGCCAGGCCCATGGGCCATCGAGTGAAATATTCAACGCCAACCAGCAGGTGCTTACTACCCCCAGGTGTCGCAGGGAATGGCCCCAAAATGTCAAGCGCAGCGGGTTCGTTGATGCGGTTGACCTGAATCGATTGTAGCGGCGGACTGGACGCCTTGGGTGGCGGTTTCCGCTGGGCGCCACTGAGTACAACCCATAAGGATGTCCGACACATCCCTTGCCATGCCTGGCCAGAAGAACTCAAGCTGAAGCATGGCAAGGGTCTTGTGAGATCCCAGATGCAGGAGTCGCTCGTGCGCGGCTACAATGTCCCTACCCCGCAGAGCGGACGGTACAACGATCCTATAGCGAAGGGACCCACCGTCCCATCGCATGGGGAGACCCCCCCCCCGCCACTACCCAAGAGTCAACCCCGACCAGGCCCTCAATTTGACCCTTACCAATCGGTAAGGGTCAAATTGAGTAATGAATCTCTGCCTTCGGGCGAGAGAGGGATCTCAGGGACCAGCACAACGGCAGCGGCAGCCAGAACTGTGGATGGGACATCATACTCTTTGGTTCTATTGGGTAAAGTCACGTAGTAGGTAAAAAATAAAATAACAAAAATCACGACATTTCGGCCACAACACAAGCGGCCTTCATCAGGTGAAGGGATCAGGCTATCTCGAGGACAGCGCTGGAGTGAAACACAGTCACGCTCAGACCGCGGACCTTTAAGCTGTGTGCGAGAAAACAAGGTGCCTTGACAAAGGAATTAGCATAAAAATTAGCATTTGATTGGCCGACTTTAGAAAAGAGGTGGTGTACGTGCCGGTGGACTTGCCGTTTGGCGCGGGGGTGGGGGAGGGGGAGTTTACCTATTGATGGTGTGAAAAGGGAATTTATAAGAGCTGCAAAAGTTTTTTGGGGTACCATTACTTGAAAAATATACTGTACCATTGAAATTGGTTTAATGTTTAGTTCGATTTAGAACATCTTTCCAATGGTTGCTTAATTTGAAACCATCTTCTCGGTTGAAATTGTGTCTGTGTTTGTAGATCTGAATTGCCTCGTGAACAAATCTCTGATAAAAACCCGTGGGTTTGCAAAGAACCTTGGTATCGGAGAAAATTATATCGTGATCACCCATAGCGTTGTAACAGTGATCACCCACGGCAGAAGAATTCGTTTTGCCGTGTTTCAAATCTGATTTGACGGGACATCACTCTGCGGTTTGCAGCGTCCCGAGCCAAGAAAACAGGCACACTCGGTGCCGGGTGTCAATCGCGACAAAGCGTCCGCGTTCGTGCGACGAACGCCCTTACGGTAGGTGGTCGTGAAGTTGTAGTCCTGGAGGACCTCCAGCCACCGAGGGAATTGCCCCGATGGTTGGTCAACACGAAGGGCATGTTGCAGTGCCGCATGGTCAGTACGGACGGTGAAGTGCCGTCTGTAGAGATACGGCCGATATTCTTGTACAAAAAAACCTATAGCCAGCAGCTCGCGACGGGTGACGCGGTAGCGCTGTTCCGCTGATGATAACACTCTGCTACCGTAGTAGGCGACGACGCGTTCGACACCTCCGACGACCTGCCAGAGCACTCCGCCAACGTCGGTGTTACTGGCGTCCGTGTCGAGCAGAAAAGGCTCAGTGAAGTCGGGGTAACTTGGGGGCGGAGCACTCACCAGGGCGTTGCGAAGGGAGCGAAAAGCGGCCTCCCCCTCCTCCTCCTCACCCCAACAAAATTTCACACCCTTTGCCGTCAAAGCGTTGTAAAGGTTTTGCAATGGTGGCAAAGTTGGCGACGAATCCGCCGATAGCACGAGGCAAATCCGATGAAGCTACGGACTTCGCCGACCGGAGTGGGTGTAGGCCATGAGCTGACGCACTGCGTCTTAGCAGGATCCGTGGAGATACCCCGAACGACTCACAATGTGTCCCAAGTACCGCACGGACTCCCGGAGGACACTGTTGTGGCTTCAACTTCAAATTAGCGGGCCTCATCTTCACGAATTCAGCCCTCAGACGCTCGAGGTGTTCCTCGAACGTCTTGCTGAAGACGATCACATCGTCCAAATATATCAGACAGGCGTCCCATTGGAGCCCGGCTAAAACCCAATTCCATTTATCGCTGGAACGTTGCGGGAGCCGTGTGAAGTCCCATGGGTAACCGGTGAAACTGGAATAGGCCCTGCGGCGTCATCAAGAGGGAGTTGCCAGAACCCCGACAGCAGGTCCGATGTGGAGAAATACCGCGCTCCCGCTAAAGCGTCCAGCGAAAGTCTCCGCAAAATCTCAGGCATCCATGGACTGGTGGAAGGGGAGATACTATCTGCAGATAACATGTCATCGACAGCCAATTTGACATGATCCTTTTCACCTGTGTCGACGTGGTGACGCAGTAAGCTGGTACATCCAATGTCATATTTACGTTTGCTGAAGACGTCCGAACATTCGAGTGAAGGAGCCGGACAGGTGACTGGATCCGGAATAAAAGCGAGCCGAGCCACCCTTCATCCTGGTCCTCCGAATGCGGACCCGGAGCAGGACCAGTACCCACACGCCCTCCTGCTGGGCCCTCCACGGGCGCGGCGTGAGCGAGCACGGTCCCCTGGGGGACCACAGCCGTCCGCAGTTCGGCATTGAGAACCATGACGAAGGGGTCCCTGTCCCGCCCGGACTATCGTTTGCGCAACCGCCCGGTCCAATCCCGTTACCGCGCTCACGGGATTGGACCCAACAGGACACCGGGACCCATCATACCCGCGCCGAGAGACTTGCACCGTCGAGGAGGCCGGCCCGAGGGAAGCTCGAGGTGCACCCTTGTTCAGTGAGGATTTTGATCGGCATCTTGGCACCCAAAAAAAAAATCCGTCCCCAATAAGCATGGGACCGCGAGAGAAGGATGAGCCCAGGATCGTACCGGATAATTTAATGTCTCCGATGCAAATTTTTCGCCCTGATTTGACCAATGATGCCCGACGGTCCTCCGTTCGCCGCATAGCGCGGGACGTCAACCGGTAGCAACGGCCGACATTGGACGGGAAGAAAGTTATAGGCGAGGTCGGAGACCATCGTTGCCGACGCCCCTGTTACCGACCGGCACGCGAACCTCTGCGACACCATCGATGGGTCCCGTGACCGCAGGCGAAGCGGCCGATGCAGCAACCCGCCCTATGGGCCAGCTCGAGCGGCCGCAACGAACCCGACTCACCCTCCCCCCCCCCCCGACGATTCGACGCCCGGGTCGCGACAATCGCCCCCCCCGCGTGCGTGGGGGGGGGGGGCCGAGCACGTGCGGTGCCGCGACTTGCCGGAGGAATGCTGCGTCGACTGTGGGGCCCGGCATCCCGAAGCAGCGTGGCCTCGGAGGCCGCGGTTGTGGCAGGTCACGAGGTCACGAGGGCTTGGGCAGTCCTCGGCTGCTCCTGCTCGCGCGCCGGTCCGCTGGGACGGTCGGCCACCCGGCCTCCAGTCCCCCGAGGCCGACCCGCGGCGAAGGCCACCTCGGAAGGCTTGGTCGCCCGACGTTGCCGGCCGGTCCGCCGAAGTCAAGAGCGCTGGCGACGAGGCGGGTGGCTTCCGTTCCGGGGCCACCTGCGCGTGAATGTTTCCCCGCGGCGCGCAAGGCGCGTCCGTCTGCTTCGCCCGCGGCAAGGGGCTACGGATGCCCGACTCTTGCTCCAGCGCCAAAAGCCTCTCTGCCGCCCTTTGGCGTCGATGCCTTCGCAGTCCGTGCGTGGGAAGGCTGCTTTAGCCCCGGGGGGGCCCAGCAGAGAGCCGTGGAGTCGTCGCGAGGGTGGCGAGGGGCGTCCATCGTCCAGGGCCGCCGGAAAAGGACGCGCAAGCGCCTCGTCGTCGCTCCAACCCGACATCTGCGCGGCGAGCGAGGAACCGCCGCTCAAAAGCGCTCCCCGATACGCCGCCTCCTGCCGCGGAACGCTGCCGAGACGATCGGTCCGCCGCTGTGAACGTTGTCTCCGTCACCGGCTGCCCACGGTCGCCCCTGAAACGCCGTTGATTGGGACGGCGTCGATTGGACCCCGCGCGCTCCCCCCACGTGGGTTGCGCCCGGCTTCCGCTGCAGCAGTTGGCCGCCGGTCCTCGCCGCGCTCTGCTGCGACCGCCCACCCCTCCCCGAGTTATCTCCTCCAGCGCAGAGGAGGCGGCGGTGGCGGCGAGGAGCAACTCTGCGAGGCGGGAGCGAGCGAGTCTTCCCAGTTCTAGTGGCAATGCGGCGACGGGAGGCAACGCGTACACGGCTGAATACTTGAAGGGGCAACGGCCTCTTCTCGCCCCGCTCTCTCAGGGGCAAGTATCCCCAAGCTAAGTCGCGCTTTACTCCCCATCTGTATCACAGCCCTCCTCTCAAGGAGACCACCTGACCTGGCCCAGCCAAGGCACAGGTCCCGGGCGACCAGCCACGCGGACCCGGCCCTTAGAAGGACATCGAGGCTCTGGGGTCGCTCCAGTGGCTTGCTAGGGCCGGCCCTTAGAAGGACAGCGACCCAGAGGAGTCCCAGGGTCTAGCTAGCCGGACTTCCGTCTTCAACTGGTTCTTCTTCTTGACCCGTTCACAACTGCCCCCTCGCTCTCAAGCTCCCGCCTTTTATAGGATTTCCCCCCGAGGTGCGGGGGTTCTGTGGGGGGGACAGCACCACGACCCCCTCCCCTCGAGAGGGGGCGGGGGTTCTGTGGGGGGGACAGCACCACGACCCCCTCCCCTCGGGAGGGCCCCCGGCTAGCGGGGTGTCACTAGCGCCCTGCACAGGTAAGTAATGGGAGTTAACCGGAGTTGGTTGGTGTCCGCGCGTTCCAATACCACCACCACCACCACATCAGTAACAAATTGGCCACGTTCTGTTGACGTGACAACCCTCACTAGTTGGCTGTGCTTCGGGTGGTGGCGTGGTTTTAACGACGCTTTTATACATTGACGCGATCCAACCCTAAAATCGTTGAGCTGAGTAACGCGATGTGCTCACCCCAGCGCCCCACGAGTTCTACCGGTTTACATGTTGACAAGTGTACAAGGACACGTTTAACACACGCTCACACACGCTAGGACATGCTAACACACGCTAACACACGCTAGGACATGCTAACACACGCAAACACACGCTAGGACATGCTAACACACGCAAACACACGCTAGGACATGCTAACACACGCAAACACACGCTAGGACATGCAAATACACGCTAGGACATGCTAACACATGCTAACACAGGCTATGACATGCTAACACGCAAACACACGCTAGGACATGCTAACACGCAAACACACGCTAGGACATCCTAACACATGCTAACACATGCTAGGACATGCTAACACATGCTAACACACGCTAGGACACGCTAACGCACAACTGCCATGTCTCTGTCTGTCTCTGCTGCCTCTCTCTGTGTCTCTGTCTCCGCTGTCTCTCTCTCGGTGTCTCTGTCTCTCTCTCTCTCTGTGTCTCTGCCTCTGGACAGACGCACGGACAGACGCACGGACAAACCCAGGCAAGAACAGTTGTACAGAGTCGAAGGCGGACAGGCAGACAACCTTACAGGCAGACACACAGACAACATTACAGGCAGACAGGCAGACAACATTACAGGCAGACACACAGACAACCTTACAGACGGACAGGCAGACAACCTTACAGGCAGACACGCAGACAACATTACAGGCAGACAGACTCCGGGACAAAGAGGAGGTCGGTTGGACGGACTCGCTCACCGACTCGGAGGTAGACAGACGGGGAGATTGGCTGTCTCACAGTCAGACAGTGGTACAGGCAGACAAGCAGACAACTTTACAATACAAGCAGACAACTTTACAGGCGGACAAGCAGAGAACTTTACAGGCAGACATGCAGACAACTTTACAGGCGGACAAGCAGACAACTTTACAGGCGGACAAGCAGACAACTTTACAGGCGGACAAGCAGACAACTTTACAGGCGGACAAGCAGACAACTTTACAGGCAGACATGCAGACAACTTTACAGGCGGACAAGCAGACAACTTTACAGGCGGACATGCAGACAACTGTACAGGCGGACATGCAGACAACTTTACAGGCGGACAAGCAGACAACTTTACAGGCGGACATGCGGACAACTGTACAGGCGGACATGCAGACAACTTTACAGGCAGACAAGCAGACAGCTTTACAGGCAGACACGAAGACAACTTTACAGGCGGACATGCAGACAACTTTACAGGCAGACACACAGACAACTTTACAGGCAGACACGAAGACAACTTTACAGGCGGACATGCAGACAACTTTACAGGCAGACACACAGACAACTTTACAGGCAGACACGCAAACAACTTTACAGGCAGACACGCAGACGACTTTACAGGCAGACACGCAGACAACTTTACAGGCGGACACGCAGACGACTTTACAGACGGACAAGCAGACGACCTTACAGGCAGACACACAGACAACTTTACAGACGGACAAGCAGACGACCTTACAGGCGGACAGGCGGGCAGACGGCAGGCTGTCCCACAGCCACGCGGACTCGCAAGCGGAGAAGGAGTGGGACGACGTGGGGGACGCTGCTGCTGCTGCTGCTGTGTCCACGCACGGTGAGGGCCGTGGACTCCTCCACACCACCAAACCACACAGGGAACTCTTTACCAGGTCGATGGCGTGCACAGAGATCCATAGAGATGCATAGAGACCCATAGAGATGCATAGAGACCCATAGAGATGCATAGAGACCCATAGAGATACATAGAGACCCATAGAGATACATAGAGATGCATATAGACCCATAGAGATACACAGAGACCTATAGAGATACACAGACCCATAGAGATACATAGAGACCCATAGAGATGCATAGAGACCCGTAGAGATACATAGAGACCCGTAGAGATACATAGAGACCCGTAGAGATACATAGAGACCCATAGAGATACATAGAGACCCATAGAGATGCATAGAGACCCATAGAGATACATAGACCCATAGAGATACATAGAGACCCATAGAGATACATAGAGACCCATAGAGATACATAGAGACTCATAGAGATACATAGAGACCCCGTAGAGATACATAGAGACCCATAGAGATACATAGAGACCCATAGAGATACAGAGACCCATAGAGATGCATAGAGACCCATAGAGATGCATATAGACCCATAGAGATACACAGAGACCCATAGAGATACATAGAGACCCATAGAGACCCAAAGAGATACACAGTCACCCATAGACTAAACTACGAATTAAACTATTTTTTTTATTGTTCCCCGTAAGGGACCCGCTAAGCTGCGTAGATCTCTTGCCACAAGCCCCCTGGCCATCACCAAGGATAGCAGCTCATCCAGAGTGGCTCATCATCATCATCATCAGCATCACGCGGAAATGTCGAGCGACAGCCACACAACTCTCAGCGCTGTGGTGTCGATGCTAAATGTGGAGGGGGAAAAAATACAACGCAGAACCCCGGGGGAAAGTCCACGCGGCGACCGCCACGGAGAGAGAGAGAGAGAGACGCAGACTCCAAATCTACAGCGGCAGGCGTCGTCAGGGTCGGGATCGAACCCACGACCTCCTGTACACCAGGCGAGGTAGTCAACGTCTCCCAGGGATCGAACCCACGACCTCCTGTGTACCAGGCGAGGTAGTCAACATCTCCCAGGGATCGACCCCACGACCTCCCGTGTACCAGGCGAGGTAGTCAACATCTCCCAGGGATTGAACCCAGGACCTCCTGTGTACCAGGCGACGTAGTCAACATCTCCCAGGGATCGAACCTACGACCTCCTGTGTACCAGGCGAGGTAGTCAACATCTCCTAGGGATCGACCCCACGACCTCCCGTGTACCAGGCGAGGTAGTCAACATCTCCCAGGGATTGAACCCAGGACCTCCTGTGTACCAGGCGAGGTAGTCAACATCTCCCAGGGATCGACCCCACGACCTCCCGTATACCAGGCGAGGTAGTCAACATCTCCCAGGGATCGAACCCAGGACCTCCTGTGTACCAGGCGAGGTAGTCAACATCTCCCAGGGATCGACCCCACGACCTCCCGTATACCAGGCGAGGTAGTCAACATCTCCCAGGGATCGAACCCAGGACCTCCTGTGTACCAGGCGAGGTAGTCAACATCTCCCAGGGATTGAACCCACGACCTCCTGTGTACCAGGCGAGGTAGTCAACATCTCCCAGTGATCGACCCCACGACCTCCCGCGTACCAGGCGAGGTAGTCAACATCTGGTTCTCTCTCACTCTGATACAGGAGAGGAGGAGACCTCCTCGGTTGCCATGGCGACGCTGTCACGGAAACGGAGACTCACGGAAACCCTCGACAATGTGGGTGACACTCTCAGAGACTCACCCCTCACTCACCCTGTCACTCACCCCTCACTCACCCTCTCACTCACCCCTCACTCACCCCTCACTCACCCTGTCACCCCTCACTCACCCTGTCACTCACCCTGTCACTCACTCACCCCTCACTCACCCCGCCACTCACCCTGTCACTCACCCTGTCACTCACTCACCCTGTCACTCACTCACCCCTCACTCACCCCTCACTCACCCGGACACCCCTCACTCACCCTGTCACTCACCCTGTCACTCACCCTGTCACTCACTCACCCCTCACTCACCCCGTCACTCACCCTGTCACTCACCCTGTCACTCACTCACCCTGTCACTCACCCCCTCACTCACCCTGTCACTCACCCTGTCACTCACCCTGTCACTCACCCCTCACTCACCCTGTCACTCACCCTGTCACTCACCCTGTCACTCACCCCGTCACTCACCCTGTCACTCACCCTGTCACTCACCCCGTCACTCACTCACCCCTCACTCACCCCTCACTCACCCGTCACTCACCCTGTCACTCACCCCCTCACTCACCCTGTCACTCACCCCTCACTCACCCCCTCACTCACCCCTCACTCACCCCGTCACTCACCCTGTCACTCACCCCTCACTCACCCTGTCACTCACCCTGTCACTCACCCTGTCACTCACCCCGTCACTTACCCCGTCACTCACCCTGTCACTCACCCTGTCACTCACTCACCCTGTCACTCACCCTGTCACTCACCCTGTCACTCACCCCTCACTCACCCTGTCACTCACCTTGTCACTCACCCTGTCACTCACCCCTCACTCACCCCTCACTCACCCCGTCACTCACCCTGTCACTCACCCTGTCACTCACTCACCCTGTCACTCACCCTGTCACTCACCCTGTCACTCACCCTGTCACTCACTCACCCTGTCACTCACCCTGTCACTCACCCCCTCACTCACCCTGTCACTCACCCCCTCACTCACCCCCTCACTCACCCCGTCACTCACCCTGCCACTCACCCCTTACTCACCCTGTCACTCACCCCCTCACTCACCCCCTCACTCACCCCTCACTCACCCTGTCACTCACCCCCTCACTCACCCCGTCACTCACCCCGTCACTCACCCTGTCACTCACCCTGTCACTCACCCTGTCACTCACTCACCCTGTCACTCACCCCCTCACTCACCCCGTCACTCACCCTGTCACTCACCCTGTCACTCACCCCTCACTCACCCTGTCACTCACCCTGTCACTCACCCTCTCACTCACCCTCTCACTCACCCCGTCACTCACCCTGTCACTCACCCTGTCACTCACCCTGTCACTCACCCCGTCACCCTGTCACTCACCCCCTCACTCACCCCCTCACTCACCCTCTCACTCACCCCCTCACTCACCCCGTCACCCTGTCACTCACCCTATCACTCACCCCTCACTCACCCTCTCACTCACCCCTCACTCACCCTGTCACTCACCCTGTCACTCAACCCCCTCACTCACCTCCTCACTCACCCTGTCACTCACCCCGTCACTCACCCTGTCACTCACCTCTCACTCACCCTGTCACTCACCCTCTCACTCACCCCGTCACTCACCCCCTCACTCACCCTGTCACTCACCCCCTCGCTCACCCCGTCACTCACCCTGTCGCTCACCCTGTCGCTCACCCTCTCGCTTACCCTCTCGCTCACCCTGTCACTCACCCGTCACTCACCCTCTCACACACCCTCTCACTGACTCACCGCCCTCTCACTCACCCTCTCACTCACCCCGTCACCCTGTCACTCACCCTCTCACTCACCCTCTCACTCACCTCCTCACTCACCCCCTCACTCACCCCCTCACTCACCCTCTCACTCACCCCCCTCTCACTCACGCTCTCACCCTCTCCCTCTCTCCCTCACCCACGTCTCTCAGTTTCGCCACAAGAGATCTCTGGTGGACTCCGAGTGTGGTGTTGCCGCACGGATGGATTGCGCGATCCCATCGGTGGGCTCCACCTCGTCGGGCACCACGGACGACTCGTCCGATGAGGAGGGTGAGGAGAGGGAGGGGTTGACAACATCGTCAGCAGCATCATCAGCAAAAGCATCAGCAGCATCATCAGTATCATCATCATCAGTATCATTATCATCATCAGCAGCATCATGAGCAGCATCATGAGCATCATCAGCATCATCATGAGCAGCATCATCATCAGCAGCATCATCAGCAGCATCATGAGCATCAGCATCATGAGCATCAGCATCATGAGCATCAGCATCATGAGCATCAGCATCATCATCAGCAACAGCATCATCATCAGCAACAGCATCATGAGCAGCATCATGAGCATCATCATCAGCATCATCAGCATCATCCTGGGAAGTTGGAGGCAGTCGCCCTCCAGCAACAACGGAGGTCGGAGGAGCGACGCTCACAACAACGAGCGGAGCGTCGAGTGGCTAAAGCACAGCAGGTTGGCGCAGTAGGGGGCACAGGTGGTGCATCAGCCAGTCATCTCAGTCAGTCGACCCATGGCAACCTGCTGGGTCTGTCCTGTGACCTCCTGCCAGCGGGTGTTGGATACTTCACGTGACTTTAATGTGCACCTAGCCTGGCACGAGCACCGTGGTCATGTCACCGCCAGTGGTGAATGGCGGTTGTTGTTGTATGTATGTTTGTGTATCTGTATGTCTGTGTGTGTGTGTCTATATCTACCTGTGTCTGTCTGTATTTTTGAGGCGCTGATGCTGAACCTGGAGCATGCCACTAAGGTGTGGGGCCTTACCATCAGCCCCACCAAAACTAAGCCCCTGCCTGGGTATTTTGTACCATCGGACACTCCACCCCCACAACGCCCAATTGGTGATGGGGCAGTTGTGGAGAGAGTGGAGAGTTTCCCATACCTGGGCAGTGTGCTCATGACCGGCTCCGGTTTGACAGCAGGTTTCACTCCGAATCAGTCGAGCGGCATTATCTTTTCATCGGTTTGCGTAACGCTGTGTGGAAGCTACCTGGTCTGTCGCTCCGCACGAAGCTTCGGGTCTTCTCGGCCACGGTCATTCCCTCCCTTCTCTACGCTTGCGAAACGTGGACCCCCCTATTGGAACATCTTCGCCGGTTAGAAACATTTAGGCTGGCTTGCCTACGATCCATCATGGGTTTAACCAGACTGGATTGTTTGAGGAGCTCACAAATCCTTGAAAGATCTGGGCAAGGTCCCATCAGTGAGCTCCGGCAGGCACGGCTGCGATGGCTGGGTCATGTAGCCCGCATACCCAGCCACCGCATGCCAAAACAGCTTTTGTTCGGCCGGATTGAGGGGGCTAAACGGGCGCGGCACGGGCTAGAGAAGAGATTGAGTGATTCTAGATTTGAAGCTTTCGTGACTGCAAGGATCCATACTCTTTGGTTCTATTCGGTAAAGTCACGTAGGTAAAAATAAAATAACAAAAAATCACGACGTTTCGGCCACAACACAAGTGGCCTTCATCAGGTGAAGGGACTGGACTGTCCAGAGGACAGCGTTGGAGTGAAGACAGCAAGCCCAGGTCGCGTCCTTCAAGCTGTGTGGGAGGAAACAAAAAAACGCCTTGACAAAGGAATTAGCATAACAATAATGTACTGGACCGGCACGGTGGGGGGGGGGGGATTTTACATAATGTTGGTGTGAAGGCAAATAAGCTGCTGTGAAAGTTTGGAATACCACTACTTGAATAAATATACTGTACCATTGCAAAATTAGTGTAATGTTTGGTTCGATTTAGAACATCTTTCCAATGATTGCTTAATTTGAAACCATCCTCTCGGTTGAAATTGTGTCTGTGTTTGTAAATCTGAATTGCCTCGTGGACAAATCTCTGATAAAAACCCGTGGGTTTGCAGAGAACCTTGGTATCGGATAAAACTATATCGTGATCACCTACAGCGTTGTAACAGTGATCAGCTACGGCAGAAGAATTTGTTCTGCCGTGTTTCAAATCTGATTTGTGCTCGCGAATTCGGTCAGAGACATGTCGTTTCGTCTCCCCGATATAGCAGTCACCACAGGTGCAGCTCAGTTTGTAAACCCCGGGGTACTGTAAGTCAGGAACGACATCCTTCACGGAAGGGATCAGGTCCGGATTTTGTGTACTGTATTGAACCGGACCTGGATCTTGTGTTTGTTTAGAATTTTGGAGATATTTTTTGTAACGCCTGCTATATATGGTAGTGTGATGGTTTTGACCGGAGTATCAAGTGGTTGTTTCTGTATGGAGGGAGAAACAGCTTGGCGGATGGTACAGTCAGAGTATCCGTTCTCTTGAGGGCCAGGTGTACATGTTTTAATTCACTGGTCAGGTGGTGTTGGTCCGAAATGCAATGTGCCCTGTGGTATAACGCTTTGATGAGAGAATTCTTTTGAGCTGGGTGGTGGTGTGATTCAGGTTTCAAGTAGGAATCTGTGTGGGTGGGTTTCCTGTAGACAGAATGCCCCAGTGAGCACATCAGGTCTCCTCTCAAACAGAACATTCAAGAATGGTAGCTTGCCATCTTTCTCTACTTTCATGGTGAATTTGATGGCGGGATGTCTAGAATTGATGTGGTGTAGGAAAAGGTTCAAAGCTGGGAGGCCATGTGGCCAAATGACGAAAGTGTCAGCCACATATCTCTTCCATAGGGAAGATCTGAAGGTGGAAGTCTGGATGGCGTAGAAGGTGCCATTCCAAGTAAAGTAGGTATTGGTGAGGCAGTGTCTAATCAGCGCAGGTGTATCGGGGTCTAGTCCATGTACCAAATTTTCAATGATTTCAATGGTGTCAGGTACCGGGACCTTGGTGAACAGGGAGACCACATCGAAGCTAACAAGGATATCGTCAGGGGACAGTACAACGTCTTTGACCATAGACACCAAATGAGCTGAGTTAAGTACTGCTGAGGAGGTCTTACCAGTGAAAGGTAGCAAGGTATCTGACAGAAAACGTGCTAGCTTATAGGTAGGGGAGTTGATCGAGGATGCGATGGGTCGTAGTGGAGTCCCTTTATGAATCTTGGGGAGACCATAGAATCTAGGGGGTCTTGCAGCAGAAGGTTTTAAGGACTGACGTTAGTTGGTTCGATTAGGGAGGTCGAACTTGTGATGATCTTGTTGGTTTTTATAGTTAGGCTATTAGTAGGGTCATTTTTTTATTTTTTAGTAACTTCCATCGTTGAGTAGGTTCTGGATTTTGTTGTACGAATCTTTATCAATAATTACAGTAGCGTTGCCTTTGTCGGCTGAGAGGATGACTTCGCGAGTTCAGAGCGTTCATTTTTGCTGATGTTGCTAATGGGTTTCTTAGCATTCTTAAGAATAGTGGCTATATCAGCTCTCGCAACGTCTGCTTGGATGTGTCCTATGCCTTTAAGGGCCACATCGACCTGAGAGATGATATCATCTACAGGAATATGTTTCGGGGTGGACAGCAAAATTTAGCCCTCTAGCCAGTACTGTTTTCAGATTGTCCGAAATCGGGGTGCTACTCTGATTAATGACGATTTTGTTCACGTCTAGTTTTGTTATATGTGGGACTGGGTTCTTCTTCGATAGGTGGTTGAATTTAGAAATCAGGTTAGCTTTGTATTTGACTGAAAGTGATTTGGCAGAAGGAGCAGTCATGTTGTCTACGTGGTTCCAATCAGAAGGTGACATTTTTTGTGTTAGCGTTAAATGAGCTTGTAGGAGAGTCCTGTCTAAAGTATCGAGTTCAAAACGGAGTAGTCTTATCCTCTCTGAGATTAAAGATAGGCTGGCCTTAAACGGAATCTGTTTAGAATTCGGTGAGGATACAGCAGCAGATGGATGTGAAAGCGATGGGTATTACCTTGTGGTCGTGGCATCTTTTGAGGAAGGTCAGCGTCTCGATGAGCTTTGACTTCTTGTCCCATTGTCTGTTGAAAGCTCTAACAGATAGGTGAAAGCCCTCCCCGTAGAGGTTTATCAATTCTAGATTTGAAGCTTTCGTGACTGCAAGGATCCATACTCTTTGGTTCTATTCGGTAAAGTCACGTAGGTAAAAATAAAATAACAAAAAATCACGACGTTTCGGCCACGACACAAGTGGCCTTCATCAGGTGAAGGGACTTGGACTGTCCAGAGGACAGCGTTTGGAGTGAAGACAGCAAGCCAGGTCACGTCCTTTAAGCTGTGTTGGAGGAAACAAAAAAACCGCCTTGACAAAGGAATTAGCATAAAATGATGTACTGGACCGGCACGGTGGGGGGGGGGGGTTACATAATGTTGGTGTGAAGGGAAATAAGCTGCTGTGAAAGTTGGAATACCACTTCTTGAATAAATATACTGTACCATTGCAAAATTAGTGTAATGTTTGGTTTGATTTAGAACATCTTTCCAATGAGTGCTTAATTTGAAACCATCCTCTCAGTTGAAATTGTGTCTGTTTTGTAAATCTGAATTGCCTCGTGGACACATCTCTGATAAAAAACCCGTGGGTTTGCAGAGAACCTTGGTATCGGATAAAACTATATCGTGATCACCCACAGCGTTGTAACAGTGAGTTGACTTGCCGATGACTGGTACCAGCGATGTCAAGATCGGCCTCTGTGGAGGAGGCTCGTGAAGGACGCTACTGGCAGTTGGAGGTAGTCGCCCTCCAACAACAACGGTGGGCGGAGGAGCGACGCTCACAACAACGAGCGGAGCCCCGGGTGGCTAAAGCACAGCAGGTTGGCATAGTAGGGGGCACAGGTGGTGCATCAGCCAGTCATCTCAGTCAATCGACCCGTGGCACCTGGGTCTGCCCCGTGACCTCCTGCCAGCGGGCGTTCGACACTTCACGTGGCCTCAAGGTGCACATAGCCTGGCACAAGCGTCGTGGTGACGTCACTGCCACTTAGTGGCGAATGGCGGTTGTTGTTGTATCTACGTGTGTCTTTGTGTGTCTGTATGTCTGTGTGTATCAACGTGTGTCTGTGTGTATCTGTGTGTGTCTGGATCTACGTGTGTCTGTGTCTGTATCTACGTGTATCTGTGTCTGTGTGTATCTACGTGTGTCTTGTGTGTGTATCTACGCGTGTCTGTGTGTGTATCTACGTGTGTCTGTGTGTATCTACGTGTGTCTGTATGTGTATCTGTGTGTGTGTCTGTGTGTGTCTGTTTGTGTATCTGTGTGTATCTG